GTGAACGTTGGTTTAGATTCACACCATGAATACAAAATATATAGTTATTTGAAGATATTTGCGTATCATAAACCATAGTTACTGGAATTATGTTCACCAACTGAACGCTATCGTAAACCGGGCGCCACGACTTGTAGCTGCGCTATGCTGCGCTAACAACTCCCGGGTTTGGTCGGTTTCATCAGTGATCACCAGTCTAAGTGGTCCCCCATCTTTGTTGTTGAAACATGACTAAGTCATATACTCACAAAGTGAGGCCCCCAAACGATAGCTAAGTTGGGGGCCACATAACTCCACATTCACTATGGTGTTATGGAACTTATAACTAGACTTACTGGTGTTTATAGACCGACTTATAACTCGGGGGCCCTCATTGCAGTTAAAATTTGGGAAAAATGCCAATAAAGCATCATCAATCCTTGATCTCACTGATCTCCAAGGTAAAAATAATGTAAAATCTCTCCAACAAATCCCCATTAACCTCAGAACATATCCCACATTACCCAGTCTCTAACCATCATTGTACGCATATACGTCTTTACATATATTTAAAATATGTCAAAATCACCCAGTCTCTAACCATCACTGTAGGCAGATACATATATATACATATCCCTAGTGCTCCAAATACCCTCTGAGGAGGTGTTTACACCCCAAAAAAACATGTCAAATACAGTCTCAGAAGGTGTTTGGAGCTGTAGAGTATATGTTTTATCCTCTGGTAATTTGTATTAATTTGTTACATCGCTATTGAAAATGGCACATAGAAATAATTGATTTACCTAGTAAAAATTGTCATTTTCCAGTTCGCTATGTTGTTTGTTACCAGAGGGTAAATCCCAGTAAATCACCATTTTTTCCTGTAGGGTAGTATATGTTTAAAATCATACAAACCATAGAATCTTAATCCCTTTTTCCCAACCATCAAACAGCCACAGCTCCTCACATCCCGATAAAAATCCATTGGTGAGGGAAGTCCCTGTGCCTAGAACCACCAAACGGTGCTCACCACGGCGCATAGGAGTGAAGAACACGGTCACCTCTATGCGAATATCAATCTGGAGGTGCCGATTCGATATATTTTTGGCCTATTTGTTAGGCTTATCTAAGGGAATATCTCCACAAAACATGGCATTATATGGTACTAACGTACCTCCATTTTAGGATCCTGAGTCATTCCCACTGAACTATTGAAATATAGTGGTAATATGCTGCTTGGTGGTTGAACCCTACCCCTCTGAAAAATGATGGGGTTCTGACATTCCCAATAGATGGAACAATCATCCAGATGTACCAAACCACCAACCAGTCAATGGTTGAAGGGGAATATTCTGAAGGTTCCAGTCAAAACTTCCGGCATAGACTTATTGATTGAAGTTTCTATGATTCCCCAGAAGACGATCAAGTCATGGGAATATTCACCAACCTGGGATATTCATCCCTATATATCCCTATTCAAGATCTTCAGTCAGAGATATAATCCCATAATAAGGAGCCCCCGTTTACAATAGCGTTCAGTTGGTGCAAATAACTCCAATGTCACTATGGTTTATGGTACTTATGACTCTAGTTTATAGGGTTTATAAGCCAATTTATCTACCCATGATTTTCCTATATTTTCCTATGGTTTTCCCTAAGGTTTTCCTAAGGTTTTCCTACCCATGGTTTTCCTATAGTTTTCATGGGGTTTATAAACCCATTTATAACGAACTTGGGGGCCCCACATTGCATGCGGAGTCATGACCCGTGATGCGGGTGGATTGATCAGATGATAGGAAGCTGAGTTGGTAGCTGAGTTGGTAGCTGAGCTGGTCTTCATTGGCAGTAGTTGGTACCAATGCTGGTAATTCTCATAGTTGGTTTGATCTAATGTTAATCCAGTTTGTTGCCTAAAACTAACAGAATTGGAATGATATATTGGATTATTGCTGGCTAAGTTGGCTTAGTTCACTTGGATAACTGATTCATTGGCAATTATTCATGTGACAATGGCTGCGACCAACGCTGTCAGCCGTTATGAATTTCGTGAAGGATGTTGACCAGCAGAAAATGGTGTTCAATGGGATTATCATGGCATCGATTTGGGTATTGTTTATCGTGAAGATATGACGGTCGACATGTCATATATCCAACAATTGTTATTGGATCGTAATTGGATATATGATAGTTATGATATAGTTATTGGATATCATATGATATATGACAGTTTACCATGAAGCAAAACTACTCCAGGTTCAGCCCGTGACACGTGAGTTTCTTTTGGCACTGGGCTGATAACGGTGAGAATCCAGGTGTAAATGGGACAAGTCACTTAGGGGACTTACATACTGGATGATTCGCCGGGTGACCCTCCAAGCAACCAATCAGGGGCTGTTGTGTGTGGACTTATGAGATATAGCGGCAAGAGATTTCTATAGGATAGTTCACGTGTTTCGATTTATTGTGGCAATATGTCAACAATGTTGGGGAAATGTTCATGATATGAGCCACTATGGTGATTAACTGACTGGTGATCGATTGGTGAAGGGTCTATATGGAGATCTTACTTTTGCCTCACCGGGGAATTGAATCTATTACCCTCTGGTAAACTAACATAGCTATGGAAAATCACCATTTGTTAATAGGAAAATCATCAAACAACATCTATAAATGGGCCATTTTCCACAGCTATGTAAAATGCCATTTTCCAGAGCTATGTTAAATGCCATTTTCCATGGCTATGTTGAATAACTCGACCAAATTTTCTGAAAGTTCACAAGAGCTAATGGCTTATCAGAAGTTTGTGTTTTTTTAACCATCCCCAGTTGGCCCAAATCAAGGCCTTGACATCCAAGATATGGATGCAATGTGCCGAAAAAAAAGTGCCTTTTATTAGCCTGGTTTGAATCAGCTACAAAAACTCACATCTTCCATAGCAAAGTTTGGCTCAATCCATGTTTGGCGCAAGCAGATTAGCATCATTCCCAGATGCTCCTTATTGTGCTGGAATATTTGCCTAGATTTACCCAAATTTTATGGCCCAGTTATGTAGGTGTGCATATTCCACAAGGTGGTACCCCCTAGTTATGTTGAACTTAGGGGATTTATAAGTAACGTAAATTAAGTTATGTTGAAGTTAACATAACTTTAGTTATGGGTTTTATAAGTAAGTTATATCTTCTTTTTAACTTGGGTAAGTTTTTACTTTGTGGAATTTTGTTTTTAAGGTTAATTCGATTAAAACCATGTTTTCTTTGTTTTCCGCTTCAGCACAGTGTATAAGGCGGCTTTTTTTTGCTTTTTGTGGCCGAGTGCGTAGATGTTCTTATTGAGCATTAATTGAAGAAGCATTCATTTTATTTGGCAACTTGAGCTGGAAAATACGAACAGAAGTGTCTTTTTTTGGTGGAAATTGATATGGTTGGCACCAGACACATACGCGTTTGCTATACACCTACCAAACACATACGCGTTTGTTGGGTTTTTGAAGAGATTTAGTGGCAAACACATACGCGTTTGTTGTTCAGAAACCAAACACATACGCGTTTGCAGTTATATATACGCGTACCAAACACAATCCACACACATTCCACACACATATGCGTTTGTCCCCCGTAGCCCAGCAAACACATACGCGTTTGTCGTGTCTAGGCACCAAACAGATACGCGTTTGTCGTTTCCAGGCACCAAACACATACGTGTTTGGAGGTCTTTTCAAATATGTCAAGCAAACACATACGTGTTTGTTGTAAAACTTGAACAAATTGGTCCGAAGTTTCCAAAACCCACCCGTCCCAACCGGAACCCCAGCAACGGGTGCAGAAGAACTTTCTTTGTTTGAGAACAGCAGCAGCAGCAGCCATGCTTCGACAAGTCCGTTTGATGGCCTTGAGTCGAGAATGCCTGCAAAATCCTGCAAAGGTCACCAAAAGCTTACATATTTTATCCCAAACAACATGAAACCAAAAAACGCATCATGAAAGTTAACTCGTATAACTTTTTACTATCTCCTTTTTAATTTATTGCCATGAAACCCCTAACTTATGTTATAAGTTCCTTTCTTAGTTACAACTCCAACATGAGTTATGAAACTTATAACGTATGTTAACCCTGCTTCTAAGTTAACTTGTGAACGTTATAACATAGCTTATAACTTGGGGGTACCACCTAGCAGCACCATGGTTGGCACCTGGGATGTGTGCCATTTTTGGCACATGCAAGGTGGTGCCCCCAAGTTGTAAGTTGATTTATAATCCCATTAACTATAGATATATCTAACATAAGTCCTAGTTATTAGAGTTGTAAACCAACTTAGCTATCGACCGGGGGCACCACCTTGCATCTGCTGCTTTTGATCCCAATCGCAAATAACATATTTGCCGAAGCAAAAACATGGTTGGCGGTTTATTAAGAGATGGTCCACTTGAAAATTTGCTGGATAAAGATACTTGACACAACTAGGATTTGTTGGTAAAACATGTAAAACTATAGTTGGGTGTCTACAGTAAATCAGCAAACCTAACTCGGGCCAGCTGGGGGTACGTATATCCGGAAATGTCATAAATATAGTCCCCAGACCCTTGTTTAACTATCATGCAGTTGGAAAATAGATACAACTCTGATTATCTCTCATTGTAGCTCCAACTGGCATTCATATTTTTAAATTTGGAAAATGGATACATACATTCACCCGCAGTGTCCCGGTGTCCCCATGATCCATATATGATCACCCACTACCCCCGAGTAAACCAACTTGGCTATCGTTCCGGGGCCCCACGACTTGTATATTTGCCAGTGAATCTCTGTATTGCACTATTGCAGAAAAAATGCTTACTGATACCCTCTGGTAATTTAACATAGCTATTGAGACTGGCCATTTATAGTGGATTTTCCCATGAAAAAATGGGATTTTCCATAGCTATGTTAGTTTACCAGAGGGTACTGATAATTATTCTTCATTTACCTAATATTTGTTGAGTTCTCCATGTTATCCCCATCATAATTCCCTATGGATCCAAACACTTCCTGAGAAGATACTTCCTAAGAAGGTACGGCTGGATCCATAGGGATTATAATATCTATGGCCCAGTCTAAATAGTTGATTTAGCCATTAAACATGGTGATTCCAGTTCGTTCTGTAAACCTTTACATGGTGATTTCGCCATGGAAAACCCACCCATGTTTAAGTTCGGTAAACCATCTATTTCGATTAGGGCCATCGAAAAACCATGGCTATGTAACAAATAACCAGAGGGTATCCCCATCATAATTACCCTCTGGTAAACTAACATAACTATGGAAAATCACCATGTTTAATGGGACAATTCACTATTTATATGGCCATTTTCAATAGCAAACTCTTAAATCAGCTATAAATCCCATGAAATCCCCATTTTCCTATGGATAAATCCACTATAAACCAGACATAACCAGAGGGTATCCCATGATACCCCCATCGTTTGTTAAATTACCAAAGGGTCATCTGACTGAATCACCGAATCCCCATCATTGGGTGCAGGATTTCGCTGGCCCATCCACAGTATCATCTGACTGAATCACCGAATCCCCATCATTGGGTGCAGGATTTCGCTGGCCCATCCACAGTATCACCATCAAATCCCTGGGAAGATCTCTTTTAATATCCCTGGCGTTGATGGTTGATATGGCTCTTTTGCTCCATCCTAATATGTCCAATATATATATATATATATGTTGGTGAGTCGAATTATCATTAGATCACCATTCAATCCTATTAGGGTCAAGAAAAGAAGGAAAAAACAAATCCTATGAAAGATCCATAAAATCCCAATGTTCCAGATGTTGGCTTTAATTGTCCACCGTGTTCCCCTAAAAATGTCCATAGCTTGCAGTGAAGTTGTTGTAGTTTACCCAGCTACATTGGTTATCAGTTCAATGAAAAACCAATAAAACCACCATGTTTGTTTGCTTAACATATACATAGAATCCCAATGTTAACATATTGTTTTCAATGTGTTTTCCATATGTGCCTTATATCTTCGTCAAAAATATGTTTTACACCCCCTTTATGTATTTTCCATATATATCCATATGTCAAAAATCTCTGTCAAACATGTTGGGAAGAAATACTTCATATTTCCATATGTTTTCCATATATTTTCTGCACCACCTGGATGGTTGAAACCCTATAAATAATGGGGAAAAAACATATAAGTCAAGTGGTGCAGGATTTCTCAACCATCCACCATAGCAACTCCCAAACATGGTCATGTCCGAAGAATTTTGGTTTTCATCAATGGGAATTCCAGGATCCTAAAATGGAGGTACGTTAGTACCATATTTCTGGCCATATTTTGTGGGGATATTCCCTGAAATTTAGGCCTAACAAATAGGCCTTATATATACTACAATATGGGGCCCCAGTCATAAGCTTGTTTGTAAACGCCAGTAAATATAGTTCCTATATAAGTATCATAAACCATAGTGACATTGGAGTTATGTTCACCAACTTAGCTGGGACATATATACTAGGTACCTCCATCAATCCCATGGCCACCTCGCCGGGTCCGGAACGCACGGCTTCAAAGGCCAAGGCCTCCCGCCGAGATCCGGAAGAGACCGTTGGACCGTTGAACGTTTAAAATAAAAAAACGTAGGACATATGGAATGGAAACATGTAGGTCGTGTATATGCATATTTCATATATGTATATGTAAAAATGTATATGTATAAATGACTATGTATACATATATAGATATGTATAACTGTATATACAAACAATGTGTATGTATAATTGTATATGTATATGTAAATAATGTTGGCCTACGATTTATAAATGGACCCTGAATAAAGCTAACCAAACTCCCAAAACAAACAATAAATGACACCCTAAATAAAGCTAAACTTTTTTGGCCCTAAACCCAGACTTATTTGCCCAGATGGGGCTGAAAAAATTGTCCATCTTTATTAATCCATGGCATGAATACTAAATCAAGACTAAATCCATGACATAAATACTATATCAATACTAAATCCATGACATGAATACTAAATCAACACTAAAACAATTGTTGGATTCCTTTTTTTTGAAATTGCATTTTATATTATCGTTTTAAATTGTGGTAATTGAAAACCTTCACATACAAACAAGTTTGACGGTGGCCTTTAACTTTATTTAGGGAAAGAGAGGGGGGTGGCCCACTTGATAAATCAGAGGTGAACATTATTATGCTCTATTGTATTATATTATAGTCTAGTAATAGTATATTATAAATGTTATATGTGTTACTGTAAAGATAAACAAATAAATCATGATATGGGTATGGGTCAAAATTAGGTACCCCAAAATTATGGATGGTTAGTACTAAACTAGACATTCACATCTGTGGTCCCATTAATGGTCTTCCATTTTGACCCACATCCATATCAAAATCATGTATGGTCTACCCTCTGGTAATTTAACATAGCTATAGAAAATCACCATGCTATTAATGGGAAAATCCATTATTAATGGTCATTTTCAATAGCTATGTTAAATTACCATGTATGGTCTAGATCATGCTTGTATCATTAATGATCTAACGATGTGGATATCACTCACCATCTTTTACGATGTGATGGGATCAAGGTGGCGCCCTATCTTTTACGAAAACGCGTTCACGTGATGGGCTTCACTAATAACTCGAATAGAACTCACGTTTGGACTTATGGTAGATATATCATAATCTAATTGTAGTTAATGGGATTATAAGCTAGTTAATGGGATTATAATCCAATACCTAGTTATGGTAGATATATCGAACTAGTTGCCAAGGGATTTTAAAGCAACTTATACGACTTATACCATCTGGTTATTTGTTACATAGCCATGGAAAATCACCATGCTATGAATAGGTAAACCATCTATTTCTATGGGCCATTTTCCATGGCTATGTAACAAATAACCAGAGAGTAACTTGGAGGGCACCACCTTGTGAAGGCTCCAATGGTTTCTTGATTACTTGGAGCGTGACCCCGCCAAGTCATTACTGCCGACAGGACGCCCCTCTCAGTATCTGCCACTTATATGTAAAGCCAATTGGGTGGTTCATCTGCCCATGATGGAAATTAGCAGGCACAATTGCACAAGATTACATCCCCCAAGATTAAACATTCCCCTAAATGGTCAAATTATGTGGACATTTCTTGCTAAACCATGGTTTCTAGGTGGTGTTGAATATTAGGCTGAAGGGATTACTAGAAGGAAGTGCTTTCAAATGAAGAATATTGTGATTCACTGTGATGCCAAACTAGGAGAGATTCTAATCATTTGGAGATACACATCACATCAAATCACCCTTAGATTAGGAGATACAGACTACTTAGATGGGCCATGGAGTTAGTGAAAACTAGTTAGTAGCCATGGATGATTTCATTGGGATTTTTTGGGGTAAAGAATCCCCAGTTACTAACCATAAATCGCGTTTTTCCCATGGCCCATCTTTCCGTATGGGCCGTGAATCCTCCCATCAATCGGCTGGTTGTTTCAAACCCATCGAAGTAGTATCCATGTGGGCCCCCCAAACGTGATGTGAACGTTGGTTTATAAACCCCATGAATACTACAGATATATATATATATCTACCATAAGTCCTATAGTTATTGACTATAGGTATATCTACCAGTTATGTTTGTTGGTTTATAAACCCCATTAACTATAGATATTTGCGTATCATAAACCATAGTGAAATTGGAGTTACTTAAGCGCCAACTGAACGCGACTTCGACCGGCGACCGGGGGCAGCACAACTTGTATCCAGGTCTATCCGCGACATATCCGTTCGCCGCAGCACAGCACGCTGTGCGCCTCTGGAGTTCCATCCTCAATGCGTTCCAAGGAGATGTACAAACCTCGAAAGAAACGCACGCGAGAAGATCAACGAGATCGACGTGAAGATGGCGTTATATGTTTATGGGTTTAACACGGGGTGTGATTTTTCCTACACGTAGATACAAGTAGTGTATATATATATATAATTATATATATATATATTGGGTTTAGAATCATATCATGTTCTATCCATAGTCCACATTTTTCCGTGGGAATTTCATCCACAAATCCGGTGATGTTTATTGGGGTTTTTACTCATCATTCATGGGTTGAGCACATGAGCGTCTCAGAAGGTGGCAGTGGGCCCACGGAAATTCACCAGAAATAATGACCCAATGGAATGTTAATGGGATTTGAATGAGATTTCATGTGGTAGTTTAGTGTGAGTTTAATAGGAATTGAATGGAATTGAAAGATTTTGATAGGGGATTTAGGTGGGAAAAGCAGCAAAGTTCGGGTGATTTAATGGGATTTGACTTGATTTAACCATCTAAATGAAACAGGGAGATAATAGAGATACAATGGGGATGTATATAACAACCAATTAATTGATATTATAACATCACTGAAACTACTTGTGGTTCATCCTACTTAAGAAGTAGGATAGTTCGCCCCAAATGTATACATATTTAAAACTGGGGTTTAAAACCACGCCCCACGGCTGCAGCACTCATGTACGCGCGGCGGCCCTCGCCGTCCGGTTGAAGGAAGGTGACCACATCGATCCATGATGCGGAGCAATGCGGTGACTGTGTCTTCCAGCAAAATCCATTCATCATCCCCACGTTTCCGGATCCAGGTGGTCCTTTTCCAGTAACGGCAAAAACCAGGAGCTTTTGTGATCTGAGACATCCTCACATAGCCCCTGATAAAACAAGCCATTCTGACACCATTTGCCTGCTGCTCGTTGGCCTCCACCAAAGGATCTGTAATCCAGAAAGTTCTGTCTCGGTTCCCTTCGCTCAAGCACATGTCGACCAGCATTCAAAGCTCCGCTGTCCACCAAATCAGGCCTGGCTGTAGTGCCGTGAAATGGCACACCCTGCGCCAAGTTCTTACTTAAACCCCTTTATTAATGGGGTGAACCACCAAGTAGATGTAGTGTCTGGGGATTAGCCTGAACACAAAGCAGAACTTTGGGGGCACCTGAATGGTGTAGACGGGTGGCCGTAATGGGTTATGGCAATAGCAATCACTATTCAAGTATTACATCGGCTTTACCCGCAACCCCCTGTCATAATATACCAATGGGTATTTGGAGGTTTCCTGAAATAGGGGTACCGTCAAATCATCCATAGACCATTTTTTGTATTAAAACCATTTTTTTTGGGGATCCCCCAGTTTTGGCAACCCCCATTTGGGCAGTGCCCAAATGGGACAATCAATGACAATCAATCATTGGTTTATACAATGAAACCATAGGGTGAACTGGCCGCCAAACCTCTGGAACATCGAGTTATAAACACCCATTTATCAGCTACTGGGGGTTGTCTGAAAATGTGCTATATCCCCCCAAAAATACTTTACTTCAAATTATCCCCACCATGACATCTATACGTTTTGTTACTGGCAAATCTTCTGGCATTCTATCTGACATATCTTCTGGCATTCTATCCGGCATATCTTCTGGCATTCTATCTGGCATATCTTCTGGCATTCTACCTGGCATATCTTCTGCAATACGTTCTGGCATATCTTCTGGCACTCTATCTGGCATATCGTCTGGCATATCTTCTGGCATTCTATCTGGCAAATCTTCTGGCAAATCTTCTGGCTTTCTATCTGGCATATCTTCTAGCAAATCTTCTGGCATATGTTCTGGCATACCTTCTGGCATTCTATCTGGCGTTCTATCTGGCATATCTTCTGGCATTCTATCTGGCCGTTGAGGTCCAGCGGTGCCCACTGAGCTCGGAAGGTCCCTGATTGAGGTCCTGCGGTGCCCACTGCGCTCAGAACCTTGCAGTTGAGGTCCAGCCTTGCCCACTCAGATCGGAAGCCAGCAGTTGAGGTCCAGCAGTGCCCACTGCGCGCGGAAGTTGGCAAAGAGATTGGCGACGAGTGGGCAAGGCGGAAGTGGACGTGGAAGTTGATGCAGACATGGTCGAGGAGAAACTGGAGGAGGAGCAAGAGGAGGAGGCGGAGGAGGAGGGGGAGAAGGAGGATGAGGAGAACAGCTCTGATAAAACCTAACAAACCTCACCTGGCAGGTGGGGAATTATATGAGGGGAATGGTGATTATTATAACCAATGGATTTAGGGGTACCCTACCAGAAAACAAAAAAAATGTGATTTTAAACCAGGCGAACGGACTTTGGCGACTTTGGTCAAACAGGAAGCTGTTTTTACGTGAAACATGTGGTAAACAGACGGTAGCCTATATTAATGGGTAAAGCCAATAACAGAACCATTTTTTAGACCATCCCATTAACCCTGTTATTAATGGGTTAACCTATTAACCTTGTTATTAATGGGACTATACCCTATAATCATCTAATGGGGATTTCCTGATGGTTAATGTGGGATTTACTGATGGTTAATGGTAATTTAATGGGATTTAATGATGATTTCTGCTGGTTGGTGGTATACCCACCCTTCTGAAAAATGATGGAGTGAAAGTCAGTTGGGATGATGAAATTCCCAACTGAATGGAAAGTCATAATCCAGTCATGTTCCAAACCACCAACCCGTGATTATTAACCATTATTAACAATTATATTAACAATGATTAACCATCATTACCCCATTAACCATTTATGATCCATTCATGTTCCAAACCACCACCACCCAGTGATAAGTTGGTTTATGAACACCAGTAACTATAGTTGTAAATAAGTTATAAGTATCATAAACCATAGTTATTGGAATGATGTTCACCAACTAAGCTATCGACCAGGGGCACCACAACTTGTAGGGTAAACCCATATGGATGTGAAAGAACCACCATTGGTAGATAATTCCCTAAGGAAACCCATGGGGTTTTCCACAACTATGACGTCTATGTTGGCTTACCCTAAAGGTATTCAGCCCCGATGGCTTTAGCAATGTGCCCAAACACTGCATGCCCTGAATGTGTTTTCCTTGTGTTTTATGTCAGGAGAACATCAAACTGCCATCTAGTCAATGGGAATTTCAGGATCCTAAAATGGAGGTACTGCACCATATAAGGCCATATTTTTTTGGGGATATTCCCTTACATAGGCTTTATATAGGCCTTCTATATGGTAGGTACCTCCAATTTAGGTTCCTGAGTCATGGCCATTGATCTATTATCTGCGGGTTCTGCAAAGTTTGAAACAGCAAAGGGACCTACTGAAATCATCTAGAGGTCTATATCGGACATTCCAGGTACTTGCTGTATGTAATGATTTCTGTGAATTCCTAGGCAGGGGGATATTTACACAACGAAGACTTGTATGGCATAGTATCTCCATTTTAGATATCTCAATGGGCTGCTGTCTACATTTTTTGATTAGGAATCCATACAATGTGGTGCCCCCGGTCGATAGCTATGTTGGTTTATAACTCTAATTTCACTAGGACTTATGGTAGGTATATCTATGGTTAATGGGATTATAAATCAACAAACATAACTTGGGGGGCGCCACATTGTAGTAATATAAACAGTTCGCTATGGAAACACACTATGTCAATAGGTAACTAGTCTACAAACAGGCCATGTCCCATGGCTACATCATTGCCAATCAGCCAGATACCCTGCAAAAAATGGACGAAATTCTTTGCTGGTGAACGTAGATATTCCCAGCCAGATATCAAGTCAGACTAGTTAGGATTAGTTTCTACCCATCTAAGATTGACCTAGACATTAGTTTACTGGAAACACCCCATTTTTGCTGATGAAATCTCCATTTTTTCCACTGGAGCCGCTGTTGCCGGGTCGTTCTGCGTTGTTGCAGCGCTGCCTAAGCATCCCACTTTGCATGGCATTGTCGTCTGCGTTGTTGCCTCGGAGACGCCAAAAAGGGATCCATGCAATGGTCCCCAGTGACGTGATGTGAACATTGGTGAACAAAAACCCCATGAATACATAGTTACCCTCTGGTAAACTAACATAACTATGGAAAATCACAATTCTTCATGGGAAAATTCACTATAAATGGTGATTTTCTATAGCTACGTTAGTTTACCAGAGGGTATTTGCGTATCATAAACCGTTTCTGATACCTATAACTACAGTTTTCATGGGGCATGGGGTTTATAAATCAACTTATAAATCTTAAACCATAGTAAAATTGGAGTTATTTGGACCAACTTAGCTATTGTAAACGGGGCCCACTTTGTAGAAACCGAAAGTGGTTCATACGGAAATATTTGGGGCCCACTGTATGGAAATATCTCTAGCTATATAGGTTCATCCCATGTCAAATACACAACCCCGTCAGATTCATGGAACTATTCAGAATTCTATTGGTCACATACCCTATGGATCCAGCCGTACCTTCTTAGGAAGTGGGACTGGGGTATGATTTGGGGGGTGATTTGTATCTTCTCAGGAAGTGGGACTGGATCCATAGGGATATGGATTATACTATTCTACTAAGGCTGAACCATGGGAAGTGGAAGTGGAATTATGGAGATTTAATTTGCCAGGAATCTGGATCATTGTGATTTGCAAATTCGCAAATACTAGTCTACTAACTGAAATGCATATCCAAGAAGCTATGCCATTTGTGCTGGAGCTACACATGCATGTGAGTGTTGTTAATGATATGTTACATAGACGTACCAAAAATGTGGGGATGGGTCCAAACCCATGGAATCCCCCTGGTGAAGACCTGAGTTACCTAACTGGATCTTCATCAGCCTAAAAATGGCATTGTTAGGTACCCTCTGGTAAACTAACATAGCTATTGAAAATGGCCATAGAAATAGTGGATTTACCCAAAAAAAAGCTTGATTTTCCATAGTTTGTTGTTAGTTTACCAGAGGGTATTGACCATGGCCGCTAGCCATGCACCTTAGGATTCACATGGCCGCTGGTGCCCCAGTGATGTGAACGTTCAGATTCACCCCATGAACTAGCTCGAGATGTTTACCATAAACCATACTTCACTCACCTACTTAGACGGGCCATGGGATTAGCTAAATGGTTTGTAACTCCGGATATAATCCCCTATATCCCAATTATAATCCGTTTACTAGCTAGTTAACTAACTCCATGGCCCATCTAAGTACTTCACTCACCTACAATGTGGGCCCCCCCTAGTTATGTGTCGGTTTATAAACCCCATTAACATATTGACTAGGTCGTTATATCTACCATAAACCATGGTTATTGTAGTTATTATTTGCACCAATTTTTATTGTTGTAGTTATGTTAACCAACTAACTATGAGAACCATCACCTCTCAGGAACAACCTGGCGCCGGGCTACTCTGATTTTATCCGCTTTTCACGGGCTACTATGGGCTACTATGATCCGCAAATGCAAGCTGGCATGCTGGAAAATCGATATCTACAGTATAATATGTTACACGCATGTTCATCATTGCTTTCTGATATTGACGTTTGTTTATCGATGTTTATCTTATAAAATCAAGATGTTTATCTCCAAAAATAAATTAAGTTCACCAATTGATTCATGATCTTCCCATGATTTCCCCACTTACACAAACTTACCCTCTGGTAAACTAACATAGCTATTGAACATGGCCCAGTCGAAATAGCGGATTTTCCCATGAATAGCATGGTGATGTTCCATAGTTTGTTGTTAGTTTACCAGAGGGTAAATCCCATTAAATCCCAGTAAATCACATTTTTTCTTGGTGAAATCCCATTAAATCCCATTAAATCTCATTAAATCCCAGTAACTGGTACACACTGAGTCAGACTGGACAGTTTAAGCCCCAGCAAATCTCCGGCATCTCCAAGGGACCACATGCATCACGCAAATCCACTTGCAGAGTCGTTGGCACTCCGCTGTAGACTTGGGAAACTGGTGGATGTACCTCGACCCAAAGGTTTTTTTCTCGAATTTGTGCTTCCAAAATGTACGGGAAGTTGGTTATTCCAATAAGTTCACTATGGTTTATAGGTGATATATCTATAGTTTATATCCATAAATATCCATAAATATCCAGAAATATCTGGGTAAAGATGGCTAACTATGGCTTATGCTATTTGGAACTATGGTCAATAGGGTTGTTGAATCAACTTGTCACTAAGGGCCTCCACGTATAGTCACATACATTAGCAACAAGTGGCCATTTTTAATATTTTTAGGACTGGTGATAAGAATAAGTATACGTGGTCATTTTGAAGATTTTTTGCTGGTAAAAATGCCATTCCATGGAGGATATGGTCGACAACAAACATACATAAAACAATACCACAGTTCCAACCATCTTTTCATCACCACGAACGAGTTGAATATCTGGATCATTCAAAATCCACCGTCAATGGATTTGAACTTGATGCATCAGAAAAGTAATCTCTGTAACTGTACTCACTATTTCTTTTAAATAGAGTTAACTCGAATATCCCATCTCTAGATGCTGTTAAATGACGACAAGCTGATGTTGTTTGATCCTCCAATATCCTCCAATGTCAAAAAGCATCATTGATCAAAAGATCGCTTAAGGTCACTAGAAATTATCCTGGCTACTATCTGGTTATGACTAACATAGCCATGGAAAATCACCTTTTTGTGAAAGGTAAACCATATATTTCTATGGGCCAGTTCCCATGGCTATGTTAAATAAACAGAAGGTAATACTAATATCACCGTAAGAAGGCAATCCCAATTAAACTGGTTCGTCTGTCACGGACGGGAACGCGTTCAAATTTGTTGCTCCCTTGAGTTTGCAGGGATTGAAGTTTGAGCAAATCACTATTGAAATCATCGTTTATTTGGACAATTGACCTAATTAGTAAAAATAGTGAATAGACGTAACAATTTGAGTGATTCAAGATTGGTGTATATGAAGTAACAATACACATACGCATACTATTCAATTCTGAGCCAAGGTGTGCCAAAATACATTTTCTTCAAGGTCAATCAAAGTCACATCCTGAGCATGATCGCTTCTCTCACATCCATGCCATATCTTCTTTGTGTTTATTCCGTCCTGAAATCCAAGGGACTTTTACCAAGAAAAACACCCAAAAACACATACTGTATGAATTTTGTCAAATTGGAACTCCAATGGATGTTGTTGAATTTGAACATATCCCCAAAAAATGGAATGTAAATTTAGGATGCAAAGAATTGCCTTCACGTTTTTCACACCTGAAATCTCAATGTTTTCCCCAGCCACTGTGCCCGATTCAGATCCCTGCGCCTGAGAAGTCTCCGCAGTAAGTTCGCCACGCAGGACCTACGCTGAATTTGTGGGGTAGCAATCTATGTTTATGCTAGGGGTCTACCATATTCCAATTTGTTCCATATCTTTGACTCTGGTTTATGTCTATGATTTCTATCTATGGTCAGTCTATGGTTATATGTATATTTAAAACTAATTATATATCCCCTAGTGTACCTTAAGTCAGCTTGGACTACCCATTTTCAAATGACCACACGTACTATAATGATGCAGCATACCGATGTTCATGGGTGGTCCATCGGATCCAGAAAAAAATCTCGCATGTTTGAGGCTGATGTTTATAGGCTGACATGTTGTGGGATGGTTGTGGGGCTCCCAAAGGTTATGTTTATTTGTCGATAAAACCTATGCAGACTGTTTTGTTTTGTATCATAAACCATACCCTCTGGTAAACTAACATAGCTATGGAAAATCACAATGTTCAATGGGAAATTCGACTGTAAATGGTCATTTTCAATAGCTATGTTAGTTTACCAGAGAGTAGTGAAATTGGAGTGGTTTTGCACCAACTTAGCGTTTTCGTAAACGGGGGCCCATGGGGGCCCCATATTGTGGTGTTTGCGGATCAGTTTTTTGCTCCCCTTTGGTGGGAATACCACTCGGATAGAAGTCAACACTTCCCACTACAGGTGTTGAAGGTTCATTGCCCGGATACCAATGATAGTTGAATAGAACATTCACACCATTCATCGTGAGTGTAAATAATATGTAAACCTGCCTGTAAATCGGGTGATTGTCCACGTATTGGTGGGTTTTAGAGCCTGCCTGCTAGGTTAAAATGAACCACCTACTGGTAGAAAACTTAGTAAGCCCCTGAGAGCGATTCATAGGGGTTAATGCCCCCTCATATACCCTCTGGTAAACTAACATAACTTATAACTATGGAAAATCACAATTTTTACTGGGTAAGTCCACTATAAATCACCATTTTCAGTAGCTATGTTTACCAGAGGGTATCTCCTCAATATGGCGTTGTCTGTTGGTGAAGTTGCTTTTGGGTGCTACTTTCGGACCTTCATAAACAATTTATTTCCAGCGCTGCCTCCCAAGTTCTCATGTGTTTATTGTTTGTTAAACCTATCCAACTAGTGGCATCTCAATCATAAAACCTAAATAAACTTCCTATAAACCAACGCAGCTAACAAACTGGAGCAGCACATATATGGCTCAGCCCTGCAATCCCCCCTCCGCCCCCTCATGGTCATGGTCCTGTAACCTGTATGTACGCTGTCGGATATAGTTGACATGTTGCTAGCATATAAATGATCCATCTAGGGTTTACTTTACCCCCGCCCCCCACTGTGGGATGGGTGGGGTGTCATAGAGGTATCATGTAGATAGTGTATAGGTAGTACATGGCAAGCACGTATGTATAGCACATGAGATCTTGATAGTAGCTATTATATGGCTACTATAAATGTACTTTATTGGCAGTAATACGTTGTAAAAAGAATGTATGGGCATGTTCTAGGCAGTTGTGAGCACTGCATGGAGGTATCCTGTCATGTAGTGCATAGGTGGCACGAGGCCAGCACGGCAAATGAGATCTTGACGGATGGTGGCCGCACGGCCCGCCTCCGCGGGGACTTTGGGGTATTCGGCAATGAAAGACGTGTCATAGACCATGACCCGGGCCTCACCCTCCGCTTGCACCATCTGCGCTCCAAACACTAAGACACGAGTGCCCGTCGCCAACTCGCTGGCATCGCTTGCATTCACCCCGATCACGATCAGTTCTCAATCGTAGCCGGACGAATCCATGATGGTGAGCTCCAACTTGTCGTTACCTTGCGCCGACATTCCCACTTCCTTCTTTGGCTGGAATTCACCACAGAAATTCACCATGCCCTCTAGACGGCTGGTCACCTTTATGGGGGATGGTTGCTGGGGGGGCTGGGGGGGGTTTGCCGGATGCCGGGCGGGACCATATATACAGATACACCCTATATTTACTTGCAGCTCAGCTGTACAGTATTGGTTGATGACTAGTTGCTTTTGTGGTCTTGCATCCTGATGCGATCCACCAGACGCCATCTTGACAACATCCTGAGTTCAATGTCGACCAATCGGCCTTCAGTGCCAGGCCAGTCCTGAGAAATTTCCATGGGTCCAAGGAATCCCTCAGGGGTGGAGGCCGGCTGCTTCTTCTGCACCAAGAACGATTGCTTGCTGAGGCCACATGCAGTGGTGCATAACCATGTACAAAGTATTTGTGTGCATGCGCTTGGTTTCACCCTTTCGATTTCATCATAAGTAATCTATATTCATTTGAATTCCCTGTACAAAGGGATATAGATTAATTATGATTAATTATAGATTGCTCCATTATTTCCCTCGAAGATTAATTATGATAATTCTACTTAGTTGGTCAGTTCCCCAAGGATGGTGCCCCCCAGTGATGTTTGTTGGTTTAAACCCCCACTATCTATAGTTTAATATCTACCATAAATAGAATTCAGCAGCTGAAATAAGGCAACCTAGCCATCTTGGGGCTCCCATTCTGTGCCCTCTAATATTAAATATCAGCCAATGGAAACCTCTTCATGTAGGACATTAGGAGGACATAGATGGTATATACGTACAATGTGGGGCCCGCTAGATAGCTAAGTTGGTTGTTAATTCCAATAACTATGGTTTGTGATACTTAGAATTTAAGTATTCATTGGGTTTATAAACCAACTAGCATAACTGGGGGGCCCCACATTATATATAACTTTTGTTGCTCAAATCCCAGTCCGTTTGAGTTCCGTTTCGTTCCCCCCGGGCCTGGAGAAGGAAGGGACTGGCGCCAATGGGGCGCCACGCCTGTCGTCGCCCGGGGGGCAATGGTTGGTTGGTCTCCAGTTCTAGCAACTACGGACATATGCATAGCATATGTATATATATATACATTTTTTAAACGAAATAACAAAATTGTTAAACAACATGTTTGTAAATATATTATAAATAATATCATACATATGTTTTAGTGTTGTATATGTACATATATATTATGTGATGTTAAAAAATATATGTGCTATATACATAAATGATATGATATATGTACTATATATATATGTACTAAATATATATATATATGGGAGTCTCTAAAAATAAAACCCCAAACAATATCCAATATATTGGTCATGTTTAGTGGGGAATCCGTGGGTTTGGGGACATCCCCGGTTCAAGAACCACCACATAAATTTATGACCCCGTGTAGAACAGAGAAAGTGGATTTTAGCAAAAAAAAACAAAAACAGAAACAAAAACAGAATCACCAAAAAAACAAATCGACAGGAAGAAACATAAAAAAACTGGAAAAAAAAACAAAAAAAACAAAAAAACAAAAAAAAAACAAAAAAAACATCAAAACAAAATCAAAACTGCGGAAAATGCAGGTTTTGATTTTTTTTTGATTTTTTGTTGTTTTTTTTTTGTTTTTTTCTTGTTTTTTTCTTGTTTTTTCCTTGGTTTTGGTTTTCTAGTTTGTTTTTTTTGTTTGCTCTGGTTTTGTTTTTGTTTTTTTTTTAATTTTTTTGTCAAACCCTATATTCTCTGTGTTGTTGGACTCATAAACATAAATGCCATTGCTCAAACTTGATGCAGTAAATCGGATGATAAGGGCAACGGAAGATGTCCCAAGAAATCCATATCAAAAGAAAGCATGTTTACGTTTACTGAGGCAAACTTGGAAACATTGATCAATGAACATAAAAAGGCCGACTGCTAAATGGAAGTGTGCACATTCCTATCAACGGTCAGTGGACATGTTGTAATAATTACCTGAAACTCCACTGATAAGTCAGCATGTTCGACATACATTAATCATAATGCATTTGTTGGTTTTATGCCCCCATGTTTGTTCACGCTAAGTCATATCCGTGCTCCTTGGGTATATCAGAGTATATCCCACATTAAGGAAACATGAGAAGACCCACAAATCATGCTATTTAATCTGTAGTATATCCTCATATAACCCTACTTGCTGTTTCATCCCACTTAGTACGTCGATTAGTTCACCCCAGTGTGTGGATTAAGCCGACGAAACGCACTTGCAAATAGAGATTGTTGACCTACATGGAGGGGCAACCAACACGAATTGATTTGATGCAGACAAGCGACGGCACTATGTTTCATGCCACCATCAGGTTCTTCCGCCTTCGGTTTCTCCTTCTATGTTTCATGCCACCATCAGGTTCTTCCGCCTTCGGTTTCTCCTTCTCCTCGTCACCTTTTTTTGGTAGCGTCCTCTTTCCCCCGTGTCTGCTTGGGGGTTGTTTGAAACCTCCCCTCCCGCTCCCCTCGGCACCAAGCGCCTCAGAGGCCGCGGTCGACACGGGCACAGTACTGCTTTTGCAGCGCGGTGCGATTTTGTTTTTTGCGGTCTGCCGCTGTGACCTCCCGCCACAGGGAACCCTGGAGATTGGAGGATATGGGTGGAGCGGCACGCCGCAGTACCTGCAAATCCTTGTCGCAGAGCACTGGCTGCTGCTGGGCTCTCTCGCAGATGCGGTAGATTTCATCAATGTCGGTCTTGGCGGCCGTTGCGATCGCCTCCCCACGTTTTCCTCACGATTTTCCCATGTAGGATGATGGCAAATATGAAGGTCTCCTAAAATGGGGATACCCCCAAATCATCCAAGTCGTTAGTCAAACCTGTAGTAAGGTTAACGACTCACTTCCAACACCAAAAATCAACTCACTTCCAACACCATCTCACTCCCAACACCAAGAACTCACTCCCAACACCAAAAATCAACTCACTTCCAACACAAAAAGCACTTTTCGGCGTCGAGGGCGAGTCGATTTTTCCAGTTTCCCCATTGGTACTGAGGCGTCACTTCTGGAACCCAATCATATACAAACATTACAGGGAAAATGATCAACACTGATCATTACTTAGATCATTACTTGACTTAGATCATTACTTGACTCAGCCATTTAGGGTTTGGTTGGGGGGAAGGGATCATTCAACTTAGATCATTACTTGACTCAGCCATTTAGGGTTTGGTTGGGGGGGAGGGATCATTGAACTTAGGTCATTACTTGACTCAGCCATTTAGGGTTTGGTTGGGGGGGAGGGATCATTGAACTTAGATCATCACTTGACTCAGGCATTTAGGGTTTTGTTGGGGGGGAGGGATCATTCAGCTTAGATCATTACTTGACTCAGCCATTTAGGGTTTGGTTGGGGGGGAGGGATCATTCTACTTACATCATTACTTGACTCAGCCATTTAGGGTTTGGTTGGGGGGAGGGATCATTCTACTTAGATCATTACTTGACTCAGCCATTAGGGTTTGGTTGGGGGGGAGGGATCATTCTACTTACATCATTACTTGACTCAGCCATTTAGGGTTTGGTTGGGGGGGAGGGATCATTCTACTTACATCATTACTTGACTCAGCCATTTAGGGTTTGGTTGGGGGGAGTGTTACTTAGATCATTACTTGACTCAGCCATTTAGGGTTTGGTTGGGGGGGAGGGATCATTCTACTTACATCATTACTTGACTCAGCCATTTAGGGTTTGGTTGGGGGGGAGGGAACATTCAACTTAGATCATTACTTGACTCAGCCATTTAGGGTTTGGTTGGGGGGGAGGGATCATTCTACTTACATCATTACTTGACTCAGCCATTTAGGGTTTGGTTGGGGGGGACGGATCATTTTACTTACATCATTACTTGACTCAGCCATTTAGGGTTTGGTTGGGGGGGAGGGATCATTGAACTTAGATCATTACTTGACTCAGGCATTTAGGGTTTGGTTGGGGGGAGGCATCATTCAACTTAGATCATTACTTGCCTCAGCCATTTAGGGTTTGGTTGGGGGGGACGGATCATTCTACTTACATCATTACTTGACTCAGCCATTTAGGGTTTGGTTGGGGGGGAGGGATCATTGAACTTAGATCATTACTTGACTCAGCCATTTAGGGTTTGGTTGGGGGGGAGGGATGATTCAATTTAGATCATTACTTGACTCAGCCATTTAGGGTTTGGTTGGGGGGAGGGATCATTCTACTTATGTCATGACTTCATTCAGCCTTTTAGGGTTTTGTTGGGGGGGAGGGATCATTCTACTTATGTCATTACAACACACGCATGGGGGAACGCCGCACCAAGAACGGAGCGAAGGAGGGGACGGAGGATGTGAAATATAAGCGCGTACATAAAAGTAGAAACTCCCCCGACACAGCATGTTAGTGAGCGCGTGCTAGTACATGTTTGTATTGCGGTTCATGTTGAAATTGAGGTTGTTGAAGTTGATGTTGTTGTCGTTGTTGTTGTTGTCGACTTGTGTAGGCTTTTGTCGGTTTCTATCGGCTTTTGTCGGCTCTTGTCGTCGTCGTCCTCGTCGTCGTCGTCGTCTTCGTCGTCGTCGTCGTCAACGTCGTCGTCATCGTTATTGTTTTTCTTGTTCTTGTTTTTTGTTCTTTTTGTTATTGCTGTTGCTCTTGCTGCTGCTGCTGCTGCTGCTGCTGCTGCTTCTGCTGTTGCTGCTGCCGCTGCTACTGCTGCTGCTGCTGCTGCGGTTGCTGCTGCTGCTGTTGCTGTTGCTGTTGTTGTTGTTGTTGTTGCTGTTGTTGCTGTTGTTGCTGTTGTTGTTGTTGCTGTTGTTGCTGTTGTTGTTATTGTTGTTGTTGTTGTCGTTGTTGTTGTCGTTGTTGTTGTTGTTGCTGATGTTCATTTTGGCGTTGATGTTGATGTGAATGTTGGTGATCTTGTTGTGGTTGTTAGTGTTTTTGTGTTGTCGATGTTGAGAATGCGGTTGATTTTGTTCTTGTTGTTGATGTTGTGCATGTTGTCGATGTAAGTAAAGAGGCGTCGGGAGCGAGTCGGTTTTCGGCGCTGAAAGCGAGTTGATTTTCGGCGTCGGGAGCAAGTGTCCGACCGATTGATACCCATGCTTTTGGTAGTTGTTCCATCTTTTTCCCTTCTCTTCCCCATCTTTTCACGATGTAGGATGATGGCAACTCTAGTGGTTGCGTTCCAAAAAACACAAATTAACTATAGTTAAAAGTTATAAGATGTCAAAGACTCATAAACTACAAAGTGGTGCCTCCAAGATAGCTAAGTTTGTGAACATAACTCCAATAACTATGGTCTATGATACGCAAATAGCTATACTTACTGGTGCTTAAAAAGCAACAAACATCACTGGGGGGACCCCACATTGTATGCTTAACCATTTTTAACCTATCACTATTATACTATTTATAACAATTCATAACCGTTATAACTATGTTTATAACCATTTATAACTGGTTTTTCGGACCTGAATTGGAATTATAAAGTGAGCTAAACAACATCTTCACGGCCTCTGTGGTGTACAGTTCGATGGTCATCTCCGTCAATCCGGCCTGGCACGGGAAGACCTTTGCTGAGACCCGAAAGGGCGACCGTTGATTGAAATCATGATGGTGATTACAAGCATCATAATGGTATACAATGGTAATATACTGGTCAAATAATGGTCATATAATGGTCATATAATGGTAATATAATGGTCATATAATGGTCATATAATGGTAATATAATGGTCATATAATGGTAATATAACGGTAATATAATGGTCATATAATGGTCATATAATGGTATATAGTGGTAATATAATGGTAATATAATGGTCATATAATGGTAATAAAATGGTCATCTACTGGTAATATAATGGTCATATAATGGTAATATAATGGTCATATAATGGTAATATAATGGTAATATAATGGTCATATAATGGTAATATAACGGTAATATAATGGTCATATAATGGTCATATAATGGTATATAGTGGTAATATAACCCATAGGATCCATGTATGGTATATATGCTAACATTTGGGGTATATGGATGGTAAATGTTACCATATATAGCATACATGGATCCTATGGGTAGTATATTATAGTTAGTGGTATCACCATCATATTTAAATCACCATCATACTGTAAATCATTGCATAAAGATAAAAACTATAATATCTGGTTGGTGGTTTGAACCCCTCTGAAAAATATTTGTCAATTGGGATTATTCTTCCCAATGTATGGAAACATAAAAACATGTTCCAAACCACCAACCAGATAATATACTATGATGGTGATTATATTACCCCAAAAATCATGAATAATTAGTTGTATCATAAACCATTTTTAGGGTGATTAGGTGAACTGGGACGTAAATGGTGATTTTCCATGGAATTTCATGGGATTTTAAGCATCTGCTTGTTGATTTTCGAACCCCATGGCTCTACTGTAGCTATATCATAGACCCAAACGTTAACCAGTCGTGAACTGTGCGTCGCCTTGGCTATTGACCGGGGGCCTTTTAGGTTAGTTGGTAAGTATATATATATATATATTTACATATTGCATGAACAGAACTAAGATTTAATTATGTTTGATTATGGAATGTACTTACCCATATATTACCCATATACTCATATTGAATCAAATTAGTATGGGATACCACATATTATGCTGATAGTTTTTATTGAATAACTAGCGGATCTATGATGCATTTTATCGTATGATTATTGATATATTACTATATATAACCGCAATCGGACATTCTTTTTAAGCAGCCAAAAGCAAAAATGGGGTCCTCTTCGCAGGGATCCTTTTAGAACAGGTGACATGCGCAACACAAATGGGGATGTGGTTCATCCATTTAACTTGGAAGCTAGGATGAATGACTTGTACATGGCTTGTTTCCATCATAAAATATGTCTTGGCTATATATTATGATTACGGGTGTATATATATATACATTTAATCATGATATAATAGTTGTGATTACATGGCTCGGATGGATATCACTGGGCACATTGATTATGAAAATTGGGTGTATCTATAGCCCATTAAAACAATCAATCAATATATATGTATAAATATATATATATGTCATTTAATGTGGTTTCAAGCGAACAAACATCATGACAATCCGTTGCACTTGGGGCTACCCTATGTTCAGGCACATCCATAATTCATACAAAGTGATCCTCAGTTCGGTGGCTCATTTAGTTTGTAAATAGATTGACTCTTGGATTTATGGTAGCTGTAACCTACGCTTGCTCAATGGCTTTGATATTTCAGTGGATGGTAGATACAGTTGCTTCAAGGTCCTCTTTCATTGGTAACAACCACATGAAATAAGCCAGCTACATTAATGACATGTCTTGGGTTTGATGGCCTATCTTAATGGGTGATTCACCATCTATATACATTAATTTACTATCAAATGTAACGGTGACAATGGTTAATAATCCATTAAGCTACTCAATCCACCAACAAACGATGGTTAACATTAGCCAATGGTATATAGATGATAGAAATGCTTTATTAACTGGTTGATGTTATTGATAATGACATCCACGAATTCACCCATATAAATGACTAGCTATTGATGATACTGGCAATGTGAATGTTGGTAACTGGTTCAAAACCTAGATAGCTAAGTTGGCGAACGTATTTCCAATAACTATGGTTTATGATACTTCTAACTATAGTTCATGGGGTTTGAGAACCAACTTATAACTAGGAGGCCCCACATTGTAGGCAGTAGCGAACATGTGTTTCCCTTTACGTGGCTTAACTATGGTTTATGGCAGATATCAACATAGTTTTCATAGGGGGTTAAAAACCAACTAACATAACTGGGGGGCCCCACTTTGTAGCCACTCAGCCCATTTTCAACCCATCCCACCACCACGGTGCCACCTGGCACAAGCGGTACTCCACACTATAGCCTTGGCCGGACCAAGAGTCGGACCTAGAGGTGTGCATCACTTTTGCTGCTCTAATCTTGCTAATCTTTGAGGGAAAAACAACATATTTTATCACCAAGGCAAACTTGATCTACAGGTTCAGATGACATAACCATAGTGTAACCAAGAAAAATATGGATATGTATGTATCTGGGTGAATTACAATAATTCACTAACCTGAAATAAGGCTATCTTGGGGATAATTCCCATTTACACACTGACATTGCCAGTCTTAGATACCCTGCAAAAAATATTCCCCATTGATATATATCAAAAGACTAAAGGATTGAAGTACCAATCTAAGATTGACCGAGTATATATAACATTATTTAATGGGATATATTGGTGGCACTGGGAAAATTGTGATTTAATGGGAATTAAGTGGTGTTTATGCGGATATACCCACATACCCTCTGGTAAATTCACATAGACCTTGAACATGTTCGCCGTTTTGCTTGTGGAAACTCGGAAAACTGTCAGGATCGCTATAAATTAACCAGAAGGGTTCCAGAGGGTGTATATGAATGATAACGCCATGTTGTTTATAATATGTTTGAATTTGGATTGCTCTTTGCCTTCATCATGTTTGTTAACCCCTTTCATACACTGTGTGTTAAACTGCTAAAGCATCCTGTTTTGGGAGGTATCCAGTCTTGCCCTCTGCCAATTTCTAGTTATTTTGACCCACTTAAAATCCGGAACACGAGCGTATCTTAAGCAGAAACCAAGTGATTTGCATTGACTGGAACATATCTGGGACTTATATCACTGGCCGTTTCAGGAACCTAAATTGGAGGTACCTACCATATATAAGGCCTATGTGAGGGCTATGTAAGGGAATATCCCCACAAAATTTGGCCTTATATGGTACAGTACCTCCATTTTAGGATCCTGAAATTCCCATTGATTATGTGTATCTAGCGTGGCATGGGGTGCAGTACCTGGTGGAACATGCCACTGAGTTAGCAGGTTATAATCCAAGAAAGAAATTAGTGACTTCTATCCTCTGGGATTAGACACGAGACCATTTGGAACAGGAAAAACTCAATCCAACGAATCCCTTATAAATGGGCATGTAAATCTAAATGGGAAAATCAACGAACGAAATGGGATTTTCCATTGCCATTTTAGATTAACCTAGGGTTACATTAACCTTAACCTTTATCATTGATAGCTGATGTCTGCCATTAACCCTTTGTGGATGGAGTATGTTCATAGGTTCTTACCCAATATCAACATGACATTTGATTTTCCACTGTTAGTTAATAGATTCTTAGCCACTGTCCAAAATAGGTTGATCATTACCCTCTGGTAAACTAATATAGCTATGGAAAACGACCCAAAGAAATAGTGGATTTACCGATTTACCTATTCAAAATGGTGATGTTCCACTTGCAAACTGTTAGTTTACCAGAGAGTAAATAAACAGTAAGTAAAATTCCAACCCAATTTCGCACCAAGGCACTCCCATCCAAGTTGTCCGTCACAACAGCATAGTCCTGAACGGAGTGGAAACCCCACGATCTTGTAACTCCAAGATATCTTAATGTTGAGCCAGGTGACATAGCTATGGGTAACGGATGTATTTGTTTATATCCCTGAGTGCATTCTGCAGGGTAGTTGTGCCCACTAAACCGCTTGAAATGTAGCACGTAGCCAAAGATCCTGTTCCACTACAAAGCCCTCGAAGGGTTCAGCCTTCTTCTCGAAGGGGCCGGCCTGATGTCCATCAATGTGATCTGACATGTCATGCCCCAGACCACTCAATGTTTGAAAACGTTTGACCCTGGCCCTTGCGATCGCTCTGCTCTTTTTGCCCGCCCCGTGGCTCAAGCCTGGCCGCCCCCATCTCTTTGGATGGCTTCTACTCTTCGCCGGTTCTCTTCAGTCAAGCCAGTCCAACATCGCCTGCAGACCTTGATGGCGTCGAACCCCCCGTTGCCCAACCACCGGCAGCCCAGGTCGCGATGTGCTAACCTGCTGCGGTCTTCTCTGGCTTGGGGGGGTTCTGACGCAGGTCCGGCACAGGTGTACCTCGCAGACGTCAGCATACAGTACACAGGCACATCCCACGGTATGCACTGTTCCAGCTGTCGACTTGACAACCAGTAGGTGTCGTAGGTTTTGGGCACACGTCCAGCAAGGGCGTTCCACCATGACTGAATGTCTTCGAAAGAGCTGCCAGTGTGCGGTGCATTGCAAACAATGGCAATACAACGGAGAGCCGCTGCGGAAACCCGCACCACCAGGATCCGAGAGTCCCAAAATGCCCTCGCTCATTCGCTGGTTCGTGAAAGAGAAAGAAGTCTTCCGATTGAAGCTGATGTTGGCGTCGTAGCCGTGTACAAAATGCTGCTTGAATCTGAACCAACCCCCCTTGCTACAAAATGCTTTGGGTGTTTTGATGGTGAATCAAAAACCAATGTGGGCCACTACAAAATGGTTACGCAAATGCATTTTGTAGTGAAAAACGGGTTCCGATGAAAAATCATGATTCTCTATAGTTTCTGGAAATTTCACGCTAAATCTTTGTTTCACTTTCTGGGGCCCAGGTCATAGCATTCGCCGAGTACAAGTAAATACAATCTTGGGATTTCCATCGGATTCCAAGCATTGACCTTTCAAGAGGTTTTCTACTACGATGCTCAGAGCTATGGGGCAACAAAAACGATCTGAGCGCACAACTTCAAATTCAATTGATTGGTTTTGAAACCAAATCTGTCCCATTTTTCCCTCTTAAAGTCTCTACATAAAAAGTATGTTTTTCGAACTTTTTGGGGCTTATCTGGGGGGGGGGCGCAGTAGGTTCTACAAAAAGTTGTGCACGCGTGTGTCACTACAAAATGCAGTGCGTGACAAAAATCATCCAGAAACTAGGACATCACGCATCGAATCTGTGCTTTGTGGATGAAAGGAACTCTGAACATGGATTATATGAACTTGGGTGAGAATTGCCTATTGGACAAAAAGAGCAGGAACCTAATAGAAAGGGATACATGTAGATTATAATTAATAATCGCATGTAATGGCCAAAATAGGTGTGACAAAAGCACGGGGCAGAGATTTTGAACTGCAATCGTCAGAGCTATGGGGCGACAAAAGCGATCTAAGCGCACAACTTCAAATGCAGTTGATTGGTTTTGAACCAAATCTGTCCCATTTTTCTTCCTTATAGTTTCTACATATAAAGCATGTTTTTTCGAACCTTTTGGGACTCTTCTGGAGGGGGACGTAGTAGGTTCTACAAAAAGTTGTGCACGCGTGTGTCACTACAAAATGCAGTGCGTGACAAAAATCATCCAGAAACTAGGACATCACGCATCGAATCTGTGCTTTTTGGTTGAAAGGAACTCTGAACATGGCTTCTTTGAACTTGGGTGAAATTTGCCTATTGGACAAAAAGAGCAGGAACCTAATAGAAAGGGATACGTTTAGATTATAATTTATAATCGCATGTAATGGCAAAAATAGGTGTGACAAAAGCACGGCGCAGAGATTTTGAACTGCAATCGTCAGAGCTATGGGGCAACAAAAACGATCTAAGCGCACAACTTCGAATGCAATAGATTGGTTTTGAAACCAAATCTGTCTCTACATAAAAAGCATGATTTGCGAACTTTTGGGGGCTTATCTGGAAGGGGACGCAGTAGGTTCTACAAAAGGTTGTGCACACGTGCGTCACTACAAAATGCAGTGCATGACAAAAGCCATCCAGAAACTAGGACATCACGCATCGAATCTGTGCTTTTTGGTTGAAAGGAACTCTGAACATGGCTTCTTTGAACTTGGGTGAAATTTGACTATTCGACAAAAAGAGCAGGAACCTAGTAGAAATGAATACATTTATAGATTATAATTAATAATCGCATGTAATGGCCAAAATAGGTTTGACAAAAGCACGGCGCAGAGATTTTGAACCGCAATTGTCAGAGCTTTGGGGCAACAAAAACGATCTAAGCGCACAACTTCAAATTCAATTGATTGGTTTTGAACCAAATCTGTCCCATTTTTCCTTCTTAAAGTCTCTACATTTATTTTTTGTTTGGCTCATCTTACCACGAAATGATCGTGGGTCAAGAGCCATAAATGGTCTGAGGGTCCAATCTATTTGTTAATGTCACCGAGCATGACTGGCAGGGCTATAGGGTTTCCTGTATGACCCAAACAATCACTACTAAATGCATTTCCGATTTTCAAGTGCTAAATGAAACGCCGCTACAAGATGCAGCGCACGCCCTCTTACTACAAAAACTGGTGCACGACTCCTTTTTTTGCTTGAATTATCCACGAATCAGAGGATGGTACCAAGCACGTGTTCACCCTTTTAGTAGTGGAAATGGTAAGGGTATTTTTTTATTATGAAAACCATTGAAAACCAATAAACATAACTTATACTTATACTTATAACTTGCAGTTGGGGTCGTTAGTGGCAGTGGATAAGTTCGGAAATAATAATCCCTACAACTATGGTGAAGTATAACCCACTTATTCATGGAACTGCACCCCCAAGTACAAGCTGGTGGCCCCAGGTATATGTTCTTTCATATATATATATATATCTATCATAAATCCTAATCAACTACTTACAAACTCACTTATATAGCCACTTATGGAGTGCAACCTTGTATGGGTGTGCCAAAAGTGGTATATGTCGTATGCCACATATCCACCGTTCATCACTACATTCACCAATAAATTACAACAATATGTTGCCATGCTCCGTTTTTACACATACACACACACAACCCGCACGCGGGCGCGCAATACTTGGCGGATTATCCCACTTATTTACTCTTATCTATCAATGGCCATGTCAGGTACGAAAATTGGAGGCACATACCATATAAAAGGCCCATGCAGGGGCTATGTGAAAAATATATATGCCTGATATGGTACCGTACCTCTATCGTAGGGTCCTGAAATTCCCAGTGAATATGTATCTATAGTTAACTTGGGTAGTAATAATTAACCAGTTGATTTGGTGTTGAATATCCATATAAATCCTAATCAGCCTACTTAGAAAGGATCATACTCATGGCCTCACCTCCACAAGTCCACAGGTCAGAACAGATCTTGCATCACCTCACAAGAATCAAATGCCGTCCCATACAGTTGTGGTGCAAGATGGTGCGTGATGGTGCGTGTTTCCGATCTTGTCAGGTCACACTCTGCACATTGAGATCATTGGTGATCCGACCTGCCTGGCTGACAAAGTGGTAGTGCTGGTGCAGCAAGGGATGGATCTGTTCAATTACACCTTTCAGTGACTGCTCATTGCTCAGTTTTCCTCCTGGGTTGGCTTCTGAAACACCTACCCCAATTACTCAGTGAAGCTCGACACTCTTCTCTGCGTTGTCATCAGATTGGGCCACGGCCTCATGGCCAGTCAACCAGCATGATGGCACACAAATAAATTGCACAACTGCAGGTTCCTTTCACGTGTGTTTCTTGCTTTGCGAAGCCCATTGAGTATAGATATATCTACCATAAACCCTAGCTATTGGGGTTATGTTCACCAACTTGGCTAAATCCCATCAAATCCCATTAAACCATGTTAACCATATATACCGTATACTATATAAACCGAACTCATTGCAGCTGAACAGGTGAGTTAGGTTCCAGTCGCCAACCCCCCACGGTTGGATGATGAGGTGATCTGGGATGAGAAGTTTAGTTTGGGACAGACAATAAATGATTCCCGGTAAAAATGCATATACTTATATCAATGGCCATTTCAGGAACCTAAATTGGAGGTACCTACCATATATAATATAAGGCCTACGTAAGGGAATATTCCCATAAAATATTGTCTTATATGGTACAGTACCTCCATTTTGGGATCCTGAAATTCCAATTGATTATACCAGAGTATATATATATATGTAAATATATTAATGAATATATGTTGATGTGCAAAAGCGCAGAATTAAACCATTCCAACTTGACGAATTTGACCATGAGCCACAAAAATGGGTGGCTTAAACGGTTCCAAACCTTGAAGGAGACCTGTGGGACCACAGTTCTGTGATGAATTTGAACACCCGCTCCATGGTGCAATGTGTACCAATATCTATCCCATAAATGACCCAGTTACCCTCTGGTAAACGTTTACACAACTATGGAAAATCATGCTTTTTAATGGAACAACTCACTATATATAAATGAAAATTTTCAATAGCTATGTTAGTTTACCAGAGGGTATGTAGATAATTGTACTATAAATGGATCAAATGGGATATAACATGCACATTTTTGGGGGTACCAATTTTTAAATGTAAAGTAACAAAAAATGAAAATGTGCTGGTAATATTAAAATTGATCATTTCATTTACTTTAACAGTACCATTTGTTTATCCAAAACCACATATCAATTGGTTTCCCACTTCTTTAAGAGCTTCTAGGCAATGCCTCGCATGATCTTCCCAGCAACTTGCCACAATGGGGCTTCATATCTCTGGGGATGTCCCAAATCAATCGAGGGCTATGACCAGATGCCAACAAGATACGGCCATTTTTGGGGACAGTAAGCTAGTACCCAATCTAAGAGATTCCACAAATAAGCGGCGAAGTTGGAACATCACATGTTTTTTTCCCAATCAATCAAAAACTTGAGTTACCCGGTTGATTAGTAATTCATTGCAAAGTGGTGGTGAACATAACTCCAATTTCACTATGGTTGATGATACTAAACTAGCTATAGCATTCCTGGTGTTTATAAACCAACGTTCACATAACATAACTGGGGGCCCCACAAAACGTGGGGTATATAGTATAAATGGTTTTCTTGCACAGGCTGCTAGCTAACTCCATGTCCAATCGAGTTTTCTCAGTTGAATCCCATGTGGCCCAAGCAGAAAGAACACGATTTTACATGACAGCCTTATCATCAATAATAACCAAGTATATAATAACCAGTAATTATCTGGTAAATTAACATAGACCCTGGCAGTCATCGGGGTTGGAAGATGAGTTTCCTCTAAGAATTGGTGATGTTCAGGGTCTATGTTTATTTACCAGAGGGTAATTATCTGGTTGGTGGTGGTTCATGGCGAATTTAACAGTGATTTTCATGGTGGTGAATGGTGGTGATTCATGGGTAATAGTGAATTAATGGTTAATAATGGTTAATATAGAATGGTTATCTGGTTGGTGGTTGAGCCCTACCCCTCTGAAAAATATGAGTAAAATGTGACTATTATGAAATTCCCAACATGATGGGAAAAAATAATGTTCCAAACCACCAACCAGTTATATATATATATAATAAACTTATGGATAGATAATAGCGATTTACCAGTATAGTGATATCCTCCCATAAACTATTGGCATCTATTGACCATATTTATCATAGTGAACTAAACCAACCCAGCTATGAAGTCACCATAATCACCATTTCAGGATAGAATATCCCTAGAGATATCTCTGTCATATCCCTATAAAGATATCATAATTATAGATATTTATCATAGTTATCATAGTTATATTAATATCATAATTATAGATATTTATCATAGTTATTTGTCATAAACCCATAGATATTTATCATATTATAGATATTTACCCATATATTTATCATAGTTGACATGGAAAACCCCTATGGCTTTCCGGTGAAAAAGAAACATGGCATGGTTTCTTCGGTCGGCGCCTCTGGAGACGTGAAGCCACTCTCAAAGGTGACGTTGACGCCCGGGCCCAGAGTCCTCGGGATCGCTGAGGAGAAATGACGGGAAGACCTTGGAATATTTGTTGATTAGTGGGCAATATGACAAAAATCATAACCAGAGGCTAACTCATGGTGATTACAAGCATCACTCAATGGATTGGTTTGTTGGGGGAAAATCTTAAGCGGAAACCCATGGTTTTTACCATCAAATTGATCGGGGTTTCTGGTTAAAATGTTCACATCATCCAATTCTATGATTGGAATATGTTTTGATTATTGGGTAATATGAGAAAATATGAGAAATATAAACGTCTTTGCTATACTTACAAAATTTGGTGTTCTTGCAAATTTCCCATTTCATACGCACTCAATTGTCAGACTGTTGGTTCCCTGTCATTGATATCAACATATGATTCACTGTTATCAAATGTATCATAGAGAGTGGGGCCCCGTAAATAGCAAGGTTGTCACAATAACTGGGTGAACTTGTGGTTTAAATGTAGGAATTTCTTGCAAATGTCCCATAAACCAATTCTGAGACGACAACAACAACAACATAACCTTTTGATATGTGTATATATATATATATATACGTGTAAAAAAAAAAAACGTTACAAGTACCCATGCACCAGTAATTCACCAGCTCTATACCTCCATTGCCCATCTTAAGCATAATTTATGTATATATATATAAATAGTCTGTTGTTGTTATCATAATTTCCAAAATTTACTATTAAATATATAGACCAGCATTGGAGGAAATATATATATATACTTTTTATATTTCAACTATTAATTTTCCGTTTTTTACTACTAAATTTTCTGCATTGGAGGGTAACTCTTTTTTTTTGCTTTGAGTTCAGTGCGATTTCGGGCCCCGATTTTGAAGAGATAGTTGGTGAAGTCCCCACAGGATGGTGCCCCCAGTTCTGTGAACGTTGGTTAACAAAAAAAACATGAAAACTATGGTTACTTGCGTATCAAAAACCATGGTGAAATTGGAATTATGTTCACCAACTTCCATAGCCTATATATTCTGTATATATATATATATAGCTATCTACTGTTGATGGAAGAAATCCTGCACCAGTTGAAAATGATGGTTAATCCCATTATTTTGTTAGGCTTTCAATCATCCTTTTGGTGGTGCAGGACTTCGCAACCATCCACTCGACCGAGGGTGCCATCCTGCATAGTGTACAATAACTGACTTGTGCTTAGTTCGTACGGAATTTTTCGGCAATGATCCACTGGCTAACTATCAATAATCCCAGCAACCCCCAGCAACCCATCCAGCAACCCTACGTTTAGCACGCACCAGTAAGAACAGGAATCGGATACCCTCTGGTAATTTAACATAGCTATTGAAAATACCTCATATATAGGGGGATATATATAGCTGATTTACGTATTCAAAATGGTGATTTTCTATGGTTTTTTGTATCCGAACACCGAAAACCCATGGCGTTTCAAGCCGAGGCTCATCACCGGCACGTCGATCCGAAAGACGCCGCCACCGCGGAAGTACTGCACGTCATAGGAATCTTTGGCGCTGATGTCCTCGGCCGGCAGGGCCTGAAAAAGAAACATAAGGAAAACCATAGGAAAACCATTGGAAAACCATAGGAAAACCACTGGAAAACTCAAGGAACATGTCAATTTAACCAAACAAACATGGTGACTTCGCCGGATTTATACTTGATTTCTGATAGATAAGTTTATGCGAATAACTTGGTTGAGTGTTGGGTTGGTTAAAAAGTCTTGAAAATAATGCAAGCTAGATTAATGAACATATAACCACTTTTTGTGTACTATTGTAGAATAAATCGGTTATAAAACATGTATTCATAGTACTAAGTAGGAAGCACCGCAAGTTGCTAAAAAAAATGGTGAACGATCAGAATTACTAGTATCATGAATGGTATCTGAGCAAACTGGTGATTGAGTGGGATTAGAATTTGAGTGGGGTTGCAATGGACCCTAATTTGATTGAAATCAGTATGCTAACTATAGCTAAAGTAAATGATAGATATACCTAGAAATATGTTCTTTAATCTCTAAGTATATATGAGCCAACTTACAACTGGACACCCTATGAACACCAACACTCGCTGGATGGTTAAAAATGCCGCAGCCATCTTCTGCTGGCATCGCTGTTGGTACTCCAGCTGCTGCCGCTAGACGAAATGCGATCAAGTTGATGAAATTCTGTGGAGACTTGGTCATACAGTTATGGCCCTTTACCAGTTATAAGTACTAACAAAACCCCAGTTATAGAATGTATAATCCCACTTATAACCAGTTATAACTGATAAATGGCCATAACTGTAGAATTCCCAGGGAGAAATTGCCCGAATAAACATCATGTGGTACTGAGCATCTGGATCTTTGAGTCTGGAAGGAACATCTTGACCGAAGAGCAAAGTGTGCATTTCATTGAAAATTTCCGTCCGTTCCACACATGTAAATACAAACTCCACATAGGCATGGAGAACCATGCATGCATATTGCATATGTATTTATGTGTATATGACCATAATATGACATAATATGTATCCATGGATGTATGTATGTCTATAACATACTAAACCCAATATTTTGCGGTGATTTCTTCACCAAGAAAACCATTAAAAAAAACTGTGCTCGGTCAAAATCGCTTTATCATGTCTACCCCAGAAATGAATGGTTGAATACACAAAAAATCGTCACGTGCGTGTGTTTGTGTGTATATCCCCATTTTGCATACCGGGGGCGATAGTTTTGTCATTTTTGAATAATGAGCAATCAAAATGAGATCCAATTCGAACCTTCCATTTAGAAACTGTCTCTTTCCATGGCAGGGTTTTTAATTTTTACATGTTGGTAGGGAATTCTGCAGAGTAAACTGAAGAGAAATACGACAGAACTCATGCAAGATGACTTGAACGGTGAAATAATAATCCCTATATACCCTCTGGTGAACTTGGTAAACTATACCCTCTGGTAAACTAACATAACTACGTATGACTTCAATAGCTTTAACTGTATGTTTACCAGGCCGGGTACGTACCAAAGAATGTCCATCCAACTGATGGATCCGTGTTAGACCCTCAGGTTGAGGGCAGCATCATGGCTCGCATGACCAATCTCAAATACCCGGCAAAAAAACAGACAAAGTGGTGCCCCCGGTCGATAGCTAAGTTGGTGAACATAACTCGAATAACTATGGTTTATGATACTTATTACTATACTTAATATGGTTTCTAAACCAACTAACATGACTGGGGGGGCCCAGAAAACGTAGGTTTTAAGCTGGTCAAACCATTGCCATGTACCAGGGCATGGCACAAAAGTACGAAGTACAATAGAGGTACTACCCTCTGGTAAACTAACAGTTTGCTATTGAAAATGGCCCATAGAAATAGTTGATTTACCCATTAAAATGGTGATGTTCAATAGCTATGTAACAAATTACCAGAGGGTATTTTTGTTGCTTATTTAACATAGCTATAGAAAATCAACTAATATAGCGAACAATCATCCATACGGTGAAGCATTTTCGCTATGTAACAAATTACCAGAGGGTGCCCTCCACAATTGGACTCCTGTTTTTGACGAGTAATTACCAACATGTTTTTCTGGTTGGTGGTTTCAACCCCTCTGAAAAATATGAAAATCAGTTGGGATTATTATTCCCAACTGAATGGAAAAATATAAAATGTTCCAAACCACCAACCAGTTTTGAGTGAATGTCCACGTTTTTCATGGTGAAGTTCCAATTGCCCAGTTGGCCAGTGGGCTCCGCCCCCACCAAAGTAAAGCCCAGATGCGAAGGATGTGTTGACACCTGTCAAGATGTGGCACAAAAGCCACAGATATTTCTATGGGATGTCAGAACACCCAAATCTTGTAGCCCTGTCAACCGACTATAATTCTTACTCCGTGGTTCATCCTACTTAGTAGGTTAGTTCATCGGAGTTGTAAGTGGAGTAACCCTACGTATCCCACTGATGATTGGGGATATAACCTACTCAGGATTCGTGGGATGAACCACCAAAAAGCTGGTTTTTCGGACGAATTTTACCGTTGATAGCAACAAATGAAAAGTTGTAGCCAGTATCGAACCAGTCGATCGACCCAGATTCCATGCTATTCCCATTAAATCACCATTAAATCACCATTACCCTCTGGTAAACTAACATAGCGATGGGAAATCACCATTTTTAATGGGTCGGTAAATCCACTATAAATGGCCATTTTCTATAGCTATGTTAGTTTACCATAGGGTAAGTCCTATTGAACAAGCATACAAAACAACAGATCATTCTGCGGCTGATCTCTTGCCCGGCCTTTGCCACAGCCTCCAACGGTGGACCATGGCACAGTTGGCCTATAACCTATGGAAAATCACCTTTTTTAATGCCAGCATTGATAAATATATATATATATTTATATATACATATACTGGTTGGTGGTTGACCTACCCCTTTGAAAAATATTAGCCAATGGGAAGGATTATCCCATATATTATGGAAAATAAAAACATGTTTGAAACCACCAACCCGTATATATACACATATATGGTATACATCCATTTACATAGGATTTTCCCATGGCTTGTGATCACCTCTTACAATGCCTCTCCTGCATCCTGTCACGTCCCGCAGCCTGCCACGATCCTTGCAGGATTGCCGCGAACGTTCTGTGCTGGGCTAATGCCTGGCTGAGGTATTTGGGTCACGTTGGGTGGTGGTGCCTCACAATTAGGAATTTCACCACTTATGATGGTAATTCAATATGATTTAATATGATTTATAATCATCTTTGCTGAGTTTCATGAGCATCGTTTGTACAGAAGATTTGCCATAGCATTTTGGCGGCGCTCGCTACGATCAAAATTCCTGTGAACCACCCTATCTCTGTGGTATTTCCATTGTCAAATCCCACGAATGGCTGGCAAAATTCAAGAAACAACTCAATATTCCAAAGTCAAATCTCATGAAAATGAGAGTGTAGCCCACTACAATAACAGCATCCAAAAAATTGCATCCTATGATCTTACACAAACGTTGGCATCTCTCAAACGAAGAACATACCAAACCGCTGTTCATTGGGTTCAGGTATGACTTCTTTGGTCAGAGCTAAACGAACAACCGAAACTAACTTACCAGAATAGACAATTTATAAGGATTGCTTTGGATTGTCTGCCCAATTAGGTCGTGTTTCATTGTTATGATTCATTTCAACCCGTTTCATAACCAAACATACCGAAACCATACTATAGGAATCTAAAGCTATACACACATACCGAGAACATTCAAGAAATCAAGAGCAATTGCACATTGGTTTGTTTTCTTCCTGAAAATCATGATTTCCCTTGCACGCATGGACGTGGTTTTGTATCAGCATTGGTTACTACCACGTTTGATGGTCCACCATTACATGGCCAATCTTAGATACCCTGCAAAAATAAATTCTTAGCTGGTTGGTAGATAATCCTATTGATACCAAAAGACTAAAGGATTAAACTACCCATCCAAGATTCATCTAGATTATACAATACTCCCTTTCAAAATTGTCTTTTTGGGGGGTATGCCCCATTTTGTCCGTGCAATTGATTTGACTGGTTGGTAACCCCTATGACGGGGTACGATTGATGGCTTTTAATGTTGATTCCAATCCATTTCCGATTACCAGTTCACGAACTGAATATGTATGCTATTAAAAAAATACTTTACTTCGTGTGATCCCCACCATGACATTTATACATTTTCTTACTGGCAAATCTTCTGGCATTCTATCTGACATATCTTCTGGCATTCTATCTGGCATTCTATCTGGCATATCTTCTGGCATATGTTCTGGCATATCTTCTGGCATTCTATCTGGCAAATCTTCTGGAATTCTATCTGGCATATCTTCTGGCATTCTATCTGACATATCTTCTGGCATTCTATCTGGCATATATTCTGACATATCTTCTGGCATTCTATCTGGCAAATCTTCTGGCATTCTATCTGGCATATCTTCTGGCATTCTATCTGACATATCTTCTGGCATTCTATCTGGCATTCTATCTGGTTGAGGTCCGGCAGGGAACACTGGGCGTGGATGGTCGTGTTTGAGGTCCGGCAGGGAACACTGGGCGTGGATGGTCGTGGTTGAGGTCCGGCAGGGAACACTGGGCGTGGATGGTCGTGGTTGAGGTCCGGCAGGGAACACTGGGCGTGGATGGTCGTGGTTGAGGTCCGACAGCGAACACTGTGGATCGCGAGTCGCAGTTTAGCAGGAGGACGAGGAGGACAACGAGAGGAGGAGGACAACGAGAGGAGGAGGAGAGGAGGAGAGGAGGAGGAGGCAACTGACATAAAATCTAACAACCCTCACCTGGCAGGTGGGGAAAAAAAAACATTATTTTTTATATGCTTAAATAAATATATATATGCTAAATATACATGCTTAAATGGCTGGTCAATTTCTTTTTTATCCAATAGTTATCCAAGTTATGGCATCACCAGAAATATTTAACGGTAGTAAAATTCACCATTCCCAGTTTTTTTCGTCAGGATAGAAAATCCATTCTTATTCAATCCCGTCCACCCCCCTGTTTACATGGCTGGTTTAAATCTGCATTCTTTTACGTCCAAGAAATCCCATGAAACGCCATGAAATCATCATGAAATCCCATGGAAAGTCCAAGGAATTCATCATGTTTCTTGGTTCAATCCCATAAAATCACCATTTTTAGCGCAATCACATCCCATGAAAAATCACAAGTTTGGTTGGTTAAATCAGTTAAATCCCATAAAATCATCATACATTTCCATTCAATCCCATTTCGTTACAGGGTGCCCCCTAGCCCACCACTAACTATATAGTTACATCTACCATAAATCAAAGCTGGTTGGTGGTTGACCTACCCCTTTGAAAAATATGAAAGTCAATGGGAAGGATTATCTCATATATTATGAAAAATAAAAGCCATGTTTGAAACCACCAACCAGATAGAATTCAACCACTGATTTCTAAGGCAAAGATGATCCAAAAGGATGATGTGGGACCTTCACAACGGGTCAGTTTCCATGAAATCCAGATGATCATCCCATTCAATCACCATTAAGTCACCCATCAAAAAGGTCACCAAATCCGGTCACCATTTCAGGATCGAAAGGTCATCCCTTCTTTTCCCCAGCATCCGACGGTCCGACCGTCCGACCTGGTCCGTTGACCGCCGTCAGGGGCGCTGAGAGGTCGTCCCAGATGAGGACGCCCAGGAAGGGCGACGGGCCAATCCTCGGCAGAAAATGGCGCGACGAACCGCGTTTGAACCGCAACGAGCCACGAAAAACATGACGAAACGGGGGAGATTTCACCATGAAAAGTTGTGATTTCATGGGATTTTGATGGGATTTTGATGGGATTGAACAAGAACAAATCGGGATTTGATAGGGAAATATGCTGATTTAATGGGATTTTATTTAAATTGATGGTGATATTTCGATATTTCCATGGGATTTGATCAACAAAACTATGAGAATTTAAATTTAATGAAATTGATCGGGATGGGATGGAAAGGGATTTGAAAGGGCTAAAAAAAAAGGGATTTCACTGATTCACTTGCAACCAAAACGCTGATTTACTGGGAGCTAAGCAACAAAAATGATGATTCAATGAGAATGGCTACCATGTGGTTGACTATCATGTGGTTGGGAAACTCTTCGTAGCTCCTTGCCTATCCATTTATTGTTGGAATACCCCTAGCTCCAGAACCGCTCCCTCCGTTCAGCACAACGGATAGTTGAAAGCAACTTAAAATACGGTGATGTACTGGGATTTAAGCAACAACACGAATGATTTAACATGATTTAATAACATCTGACCCCCAACCCCACAAATCATATTGGTCAAAGTTCCTCCAAGAAATTGATCCCAAAGAAACCCTGGCGACTGCAAACATCACAAAAAAAGCCCGCAAGAGGGTCGAGAGTCTGTTAAGGATACATGTTCAGCAAGTGGTAGAGCCAAAATAACTTATGTGCTTTAACCATATTTCACCAACCAACATTGGTTATAAATATAGCCATATAAGACAAAGCATTTCATGGGGAAACCAGTGGGGATATGCCTTGGCGCAACTGCAACTGCTGCGCTTTCCCAATGCCAACGTAGCGTTGGATCTGGGGCGGTGAACTGGCAGCGGTCGCACCATAGAGCCAATTTCTGCCAAATTGCAGAGCCAAGTTTCAACCTGCCTCAAAGAAACGTGTTCCAAAACATATGGCAGTGTGTCAAAACCTTGTACCCCTGGTGAACATCAAAATAGCTGGTAAATGGATGTTCATCCCATTAAAAATGGTATTAACAGGTATTGATCCATACCCATATGCTATTACACTTATTACACTTATTCCACATCAGTGTTCATGCCATTGGCGCCGGATTTTAGGGCTGTAGGGAAGCCGGAATTTTGCAAAACACAAACGGTTTGTTTTCTGAAGTTGGTTCAGTCAGTTGACCCGTGATTCAACTAATCCCAAGATTCAAAAGAACACCAAAAAGAACACCAAAAGAACACCAAAATCCAGGCCTCTGGCTAGTAAAAAATCTCATATCCCAAGTTCAAGAATGTCAATCACATTTTGACCCAGTTCAGAGCATACTCGCTACAACCATCAAACGATTTGGTCGAACTTATCGTACAAAGTGGGCCCCAGTTAACGAAAACGTCAAGTTGGAGCCCACATAACTCCAAAAACTCACTATGGTTTATGGTACGCAAACAACTATACTATTATACTTACTATATAGTGTTTATAAAACAACAAACATCACTGGGGGGGGATATATTTTGGAGATGAATATCCCATGGGACTCCAGCTATTGTGGGTTGACCAAGGGACTCCATGGCTTTTTTCGACCGAGTGGCTCCACTCCATTCAAGAAGACACGCATGTTGTAGTACCCTGGCCTGCACCGATTTCATGATGATTTTCTGGTAATTTCGTGGGATTATATGGTGATTCTATGGCCATGTTTAGGCATGGTTACTAAAGATTTTGTTTAAAATGACATTTTAAGATTTCATTTTAAGTTACATTTTATTTGCTACATTTAAGATTATATGGTCATTTTGTTACGCCAGGGTCCGTCAAAAAAAGTGATAGAACTAAGCAAGCTGTAGCACTGAGCTCTTCCCTGAGGCCTTGGATTATCCCATTGAAATCACTGACATGTCATGGCAAACATCACCTGCCAACAAAAACGTTGTTTTGTTTAACTGGTGATGGAAAAATGATATTAGTAGCAACCTGTAGCACTGAGCTATTCAAAGGCCTTGGGTTATCCAATTGAAATAAACTGTAATTCTTTAAGTAGTGAGTATATAACTCACGTATCTTTCACATCAGTCTACCATAACTTAAAAGTTTAAAGTACTATACTTAGTACCCTCTGGTAAATTAACATAGACCCTGGCAGATAGGGGTTGGAAGACTAGTTTCCATTAAAAATGGGTGATTTTCAGGGTCTATGTTAATTTACTGGAGGGTAATACTTAGTATCTAAGCAAGGTTGAGCCATGTGTTTTCATTTTCCTGCAGCTCGTCCACCTATGGCTCCAGCATTTCCTCTGGCAGCTTCAACTTCAGAGGTAGATAATTAGATACTGGTTGGTGGTTTCAACCCCTCAGAAAAATATGAAAGTCAGTTGGGATGATTATTCCCAACTGAATGGAAACATAAAAGTCATATTCCAAACCACCAACCAGGATAGTGACCATAAAGTCACCATAAAGTCACCATAAAGTCACCATAAAGTCACCATAAAGTCACCATAAAGTCCATAAAGTCACCATAAAGTCACTATAAACAATATTGTTGGGGAAAAAACCACGGCAGCGGCACTCCATGTCTTAGTCTTTGTATGTCATCGGTGTCGCCCAGCCGCAGGAGGTGACTTGCCCCCACGAGCCGGAGATGGTCTTACTGAGGGCTATCCCCACAATTTGGACCCAAACATATCCCGATTTGCAGTACCATTTTTGTTAAGATCCAGTTAAACAAAATGAGTGAGATCTTAGTAAGATGAAAAACCACTGGTATTTACAGTAACCCTTCTTTATTGATGATATTTCGTTGTTTTTTGCGCAACAATCCCACTAATGAAAAATATCATTGAGATCCCGAGTCATTTCTGGCCAGCTGTTTTTATCCGGATTTATCATCACCATTACGTCATTGCTGACGAAAAATCCGGAAAAAAACTAACAATTTTTGTTGCTGTTTTTTTCACCATAAAACCACCAATGAAACTTGAGTCACTTTGTAAAAAACACAATAAAACAGCTGGTACCTCTGAATCTCAAAGTTCACGGTGTAGGAACCATTGAAGTTGTCGATCACAGTACCTGCAAAGTTGGTGAACATAACTCCAATAACTATATGATGTATAGGTGATATATCTACAATAACTATATGGTTTATATAGGTGATATATCCATAATCTATATACCCTCTGGTAATTTAACATAGCCATGGAAAATCACCATGCTTTTAAGTTCGGTAGGTAAACCATCTATTTCTATGGGTCATCTATACCATGGCTATGGTAGTCATAACCAGAGGGTACTTATCGTTTATAGGTGATATCAATCGAACTAGTTGGTGTCGACACAGGATAAAGCGGACATGTTATAAAAACCTTCGATGTTGATTTCATGGAATCATATTATCTTTGTTGGAAAAAACAAAGTCTGTTAACCATATGATGATATAATCCATATAAATATATATACACCATATGTTAGTCATATGTTAACCTTATGTTATAGCATCTATATTCCATTAAGTATAGATATTAATGATGATATATGAACCATCATCCCTAGTTTGCCTATTCAATTAAAGGACCGGATAACCCCACAAGTCAACTTCTTCCAACAAGCAACAAAAGAAAGGCAAAGACGGCATGGGGTAAGCAAGAAAGAGAAAAGAGATGGTGAAGGATTGGTGTGGAGTAAGTTATGTGTGGACGAGTATGTGTGAGTAAGTTGTGTATGGATGAGTTGTGTTTGTGGGTGAGGTGTGTGGGTGTGCGTGTGTGTGTGTGTGTGCGAGTATGTGTGTGTGGTGTGCGGCCACGATCAAAGATGCCCCACGCCAGGAAGTGCGGCGAAGGGCAATCGATGCGTGACCATTGATTATGTGTCCGCAAACGTACAGCGCAGACCATCACGAAAACGGATGGCCCACGACTGGCGTTTGGATGATGTGTGTGTGTGGGTGTGTGTGTGTGTGTGTTTGTCTGTGTGTGTGTGTGCGTGTGTGTGTGTGTGTACGTGTGTGTATGTGTGTGTCTGTGTGTGTGTGTACGTGTGTGTATGTGTGTGTCTGTGTGTGTGTGTATGTGTGTGTGCGTGTGTGTGTGTGTGTCGGTGTGTGTGTGTGTGTGTGCGGGTGTCGGCGTGGACCATGTACGCGATGAGGTCAGTACCTGGCAGGTAGTATCAGAAGATGCGATCACGTTGAAATTGCAACAAAACAGCTGTCCATGGACAGTGCAGAAACAGCAAGTGACATACAAATAGCTGCAACTGTTTGCACAGAACCTGTTCTGAGCTGGGACGAACGCCATCCTTTCTTTCGATCACATTTGCATCGTGTTCAGGAGCATATAGTGTTTGTCCTTGCGCAACTGCTGAACAGAGAGTGCCATCACTGTGCAACATGCGCAGACGTTGCCAGAGAGTGCCATCAAAGCAGAAACATGCGCAGAAACGATACAATTCATTCTCTTGCACGAATTGTATCCTTTTATCTCCTTTTTGTGTGATCAAAATCCTGGCAAGACCTGTAGCACTTTGTCTCGCAGTGGGGCCGACTCTAAACGTGTCACGAATGGTGGAAGAGTTGGCCGTCGCGACCCCAGTCTTCCCACATTGAGTCAACCATGGGTCCCGCAGCTAACAAAAGGTGCGGTGGCCGTCCTCATTTGTTTCCTTATATTCAGAAACACAGAAGCACTTTTTGCGACAGCAGCAAACGGTTCTTCGCACATTGCGTCAAACCATTTCATGATATGTAAAGAAAGATGTGTATCATAATTACAGCAACATTTCTTTTCCCGTAGACTGCTGTCACGACGTCTTCTTGCGACCCTGTTCAGACGGAGATTCCGCTGCAGCAGTGGACATAGACAATGACCACGCTCTTGTGGCCACCGCTGATGCCTTTGACATGGGTGCGCCATCACATCGTCGGGGCAACTTTCGATTCTTCGCGACTTAACAAAGCAGAATGAATTACACTGCACCGATCGTTTCTTTCCACGTTGGGCTAAAACGACCAGAGCAACAAGAGATAATCCTATGACCGGATCTTTACCTTGACTGACTAGTTGTTGTGGTGTTGTAGTGGTATGCGTGCTAGAGCTGTTGTCTGCAACTTCTAGTTGGGCCAAAGCGACCAAAACAGAACGACATGATGAAAGTTTGCATGCAAGAAACAACATCGGTCAGGTCTGTGCTGCACAGCGGTGGCAGGTCTGTGCTGCACAGCGGTGCTGCAGCGCAGTAGAGCCCTGCCTCTCGACCACGAGCAAGACCAGCACCTGGCCGGAAGTGTGTGTGTGTGTGTGCCGAAGCACGCGGAAAGATCCTTCCGGCATCTTTGCATGCAAATGACTGCAAATGAACAAACTTAAACATGCCACAAGCAAACATGCCGAAGCACGCGGAACGAAGAAACATGCCAGAAGGACCGCGTCTTTGCATGCAAATGACCAAACTTAAACATGCCAAAATCAAACATGCCGAAGCACGTAGAAAGCCGACAGAAGAAAGTACTTAAACATGCCAAAAGCAAACATGCCGAAGCACGCGGAACGAAGAAACATGCCGGAAGGACGAAGAAACATGCCGGAAGGACCACGCCTGCCACACAAAGTGCCGCGGCGTCACAGGCCCCCAAGCCCGTCCAAGCGCGCCACCCAATGTCATCTGTCCCACGCCTGCCACGCAAAACGACAGTAGATGCGCGTTTGTGCCACGCCTGCCACGTGAAACGACAGTAGATGTGAGTTTGTGCCACGCCTGCCACGCAAAGTGCCGCGGCGTCACAGGCGCCCAAGCCCGTCCAAGCGCGCCACCCACTGCCATCTGTCCCACGCCTGCCACGCAAAACGACGGTAGATGTGAGTTTGTGCCACGCCTGCCACGTGAAACGACAGTAGATGTGAGTTTGTGCCACGCCTGCCACACAAGTGCCGCGGCGTCACAGGCGCCCAAGCCCGTCCAAGCGCGCCACCCAATGCCATCTGTCCCACGCCTGCCACGCAAAACGACAGTAGATGTGAGTTTGTGCCACGCCTGCCACGTGAAACGACAGTAGATGTGAGTTTGTGCCACGCCTGCCACACAAAGTGCCGCGGCGTCACAGGCGCCCAAGCCCGTCCAAGCGCGCCACCCAATGCCATCTGTCCCACGCCTGCCACGCAAAACGAGAGTAGATGTGAGTTTGTGCCACGCCTGCCACGTGAAACGACAGTAGATGTGAGTTTGTGCCACGCCTGCCACGCAAAGTGCCGCGGCGTCACAGGCGCCCAAGCCCGTCCAAGCGCGCCACCCAATGCCATCAGATGTGCGTTGGTGCCACGCCTGCCACGTGAAACGACAGTAGATGTGAGTTTGTGCCACGCCTGCCACGCAAAACGAGAGTAGATGTGAGTTTGTGCCACGCCTGCCACACAAAGTGCCGCGGCGTCACAAGCGCCCAAGCCCGTCCAAGCGCGCCACCCAATGCCATCTGTCCCACGCCTGCCACGCAAAACGAGAGTAGATGTGAGTTTGTGCCACGCCTGCCACGCAAAGTGCCGCGGCGTCACAGGCGCCCAAGCCCGTCCAAGCGCGCCACCCAATGCCATCTGTCCCACGCCTGCCACGCAAAACGACAGTAGATGTGAGTTTGTGCCACGCCTGCCACGCAAAGTGCCGCGGCGTCACAGGCGCCCAAGCCCGTCCAAGCGCGCCACCCAATGCCATCTGTCCCACGCCTGCCACGCAAAACGACAGTAGATGTGAGTTTGTGCCACGCCTGCCACGTGAAACGAAGGTGGATGTGAGTTTGTGACGGTGGATGTGAGTTTGTGTGGTGACAAAGTATGTGTTGACAAAAGTGTTTGTTGAGAAAGTGTGTGGTGACAAAGTATGTGTTGACAAAATGTTTGTTGAGAAAGTGTGTGGTGACAAAGTGTGTGTGGACAATGTGTGTGTGGACAAAGTGTGTGGTGACAAAGTATGTGTTGACAAAGTGTTTGTTGAGAAAGTGTGTGGTGACAAAGTGTGTGTGGACAAAGTGTGTGTGGACAAAGTGTGTGGTGACAAAGTATGTGTTGACAAAGTGTTTGTTGAGAAAGTGTGTGGTGACAAAGTGTGTGTGGACAAAGTGTGTGTGGACAAAGTGTGTGTGGACAAAGTATGTGTTGACAAAGTGTTTGTTGAGAAAATGTATGTTGAGAAAATGTATGTTGATAAAGTGTTTGTTGATAAAGTGTATGTTGAATGTATGTTGAGAGTGTTTGTTGATAAAGTGTGTGTTGGACAAAGTGTGTGGTGATAAAGTGTGTGTTGAGAAAGTGTTTGTTGACAAAGTGTATGGTGACAAAGTGTGGAGGAGGGCGGAGGAGGAGAAGGCGGCGGAGGAGGAGCCCGGGATACAGAATCAAAAACAAGAACCCCACACAAAGATGTGGGGAAAAACCATATTGTTAACTATGGAGGCGCCACTTTGTGGTGTACGAAGCTACAATAACACTATGCTGCGAACATGGGGATCATCATGCCAAGTATGGTGCCATTCATGTATATACAGATTATGTTCAATTGTACATACTAACATATATATATATATATGTGTGTGTAGATATGCTCGAAAGCATCAAACAGTATCTAGAGTCTAGAGCATTCACTTGCATTCCCCAAACATGTGATTTCTTGCTACCATAAACCCTACTTATGTTGTGGTATTAACCTAACCATGTGCCAACTTTGCTAACTATAGGGCACCACGGGCCAATGATGACTTCATTGGCTGCCGCAAACCGATTCACAAAGAGCATTTGAAACTGAAATCACCAATCAGGATGGGCCCCCAACATAACCACTTTGGGCCAGAACTACAACAAGTGTTGGGTTTGTGGGGGATATATCCAACTAGTTAGGTTCAATCCCAGTGTATGTCATATCCCAGGAATCGTAACATGGGAACAGCCCTGGTATCCTGTGGTCAAATGAGGGATAACCACTTACAACATGCCCCCCCAGTTTTAGTTGGTTGATACTCTCATCCAAATATAGATATGCACACCATAAACCCTAGTCATCATAGTGAACTAAACCAACGTAGCAAAGTAAATCCCATGACAAATCCCATGACGAATCGCCATTAAATACGAGTATGTAAATCAACATGAAATCCCCTTTTTAACCCGTTCCGCCTCCAACAAAAATCCCCAAACAGCTCGCGACCAAACTTCACAAAACAAACCCGTCACGTGACTCGAATCGGCCCACTTTAGGCCCGGCCAAGTGCCGCACCATCAAAGCGATCATCGCCAATCAAAGGATCATGAGCTGGACCCTGGCGTGTCAGATCATCGGAATCCAACTATCGGGCGTTGTGAGGGATTGGATTGGATTGTCAATGGGCCCATTGAAGAAGTTACAAGTCGTAAAAGGAAAAGGTGGATACGAAAACGCGTTCAGTTGGGGGCCACATAACTAGTTCACTATGGTTTTTGGTACTTCTAACTATAGTTAATGGTGTTTATAAACCAATTTGTAACGTTTGGGGGCCACATTGTATGAATCGCTGACCTTAGTCACCAGGGTCTGCCACAAACCACTATGGCACAGTGGGATGATGCTCGAAATTGAGGCCATGGAGTTATTGGACTGTTGAATAGCAAATGACTAATAACCCATGAGCTAAACCATTTGTTCAACCACATTTTTAGATTAATCCATTTAAGTTAGCTTTAACATTAGTTTAACTGGCTAAGCGGTTAATCCATAACACATATTATTAGTGGCTAGCCATTAAGTGCTAAACCATTTCTTGGATTTTCTTGGAACTTTAACCCACTCGGCCCACTGAGAAGCGGAGCGTCAAACATGCGGTGTGTCAATGGGGATTTGTAGCAAATTGGGTAAACAATTGATCAACCATGTATAATAAAGATTGTAAATAGATAGCATAGATAGCATACCAACCATATATCTATTATGGCAATTCTGCGACAAGTCTCAGTTTATGGTAATTTTGCAAATAGATAGCATGCCCTTTTAGATGTTTGAGATTGTGCCCCAAACATTGGAACAAACCCAAATAGCTTACAAGCAACCCACATTTATAAACCTCAAGGTTTGAGTTGGTCTATACAATGTGGGGCCCCCAAGTTATAAGTTGGTTTATAAGCCCCATTAACTATAGTTATAAGTACCATAAATCATAGTTATTGGAGTTATAAGCCAACTTAGCTATTTTGGGGGCCCCACATATATACATCTATAAACCATTTTAAACCCTATATGACTTACATCTTTTGTTGCCACCATAATATGCTTGGTCATCCTACTTTGAAACCAACTTTCAACAATCGACTGTGGATACACTAGGTTCTACCAGGCTTTTTGTGCCCTCAAAAACTGGGGTGAGAAAGGGATTCTATAACAATATCATCCCTTCCCCCTAATATTTTAAACACAGGATATTATAATATTATATATATATGGGTAAATTATAATATTTCACTCACCTGAATTAAGGCCATTCGGGAATGATTTCCCTTATTAACCATGATTCCAGTGAGGGAGAACTGTGAGGTCGTTATAATTTACTCAGATATATTATAGAATCCTATAATCCCATTGCCAATCTTAGATACCCTCAAAAAAATAAATTCTCTGCTGGTGAACGTAGATATTCCCAGCCAGATATCAAAAGACTAGTTAGGATTAGTTTCTACCCATCTAAGATTGACCTAGTAACCCCTTCCCCCTAATATTGCAATGTGGTGCCCCCGGTCGATAGCGTTCAGTTGGTGAACATAACTCTAAATTTCACGTTAAGACTTGTCTCAGATATATCATATCTAATTATAGTTAATGGGATTATAAACTAGTTAATGGGATTATAATCCAATAACTAGGGTTTATATTGGTTTATGGGGGCTATATCATGTTATATCTATAGTTGCGATGCTTTATAAACCAACGTTCACATCACGTTATGGGGGGCACCACCGCCTTGTGAACACCAAACGAAACCATTTCAGATCGAATCGCTGGGACGCAGCTTCTGGGCTGCCACGAAATCGCGAGCCATGGGCTGTTGAGCTACCAATGCAGCAGATATTAGTGATATATATATATATATGGTACAGTAACTTAATAGATGTTACTCTGATCATTGGTAATATGCATTCTTAATATTCAGGTATATTATGATATTAAGATATTAGTCAATTGATTCCACTGGTTTCTTAATATAACTTATCATCATATTTGGTTGGGAACAGTAGATCAAGCCAATATATTAGTCAATTTTTCACGATCATGAATATCTGGTGGAAAAAACAACAACCAGGTAATTTGATATAGGCTAAACATGCTGGAGCAGATCTTGCACTGCGGAGCAGTCAGCACCATGGTCTGGATCGCCCCAGCTGACTACTGATCCATCGGCCAAGATTGCAGCAAATGCCTGATATGTGGCCTGAATTTGCTGTACATTCTTCAGCTGATCTTGCACTGGGGAGCAATCACCACCATAGTCTGGATCGCCCCAGGCAACCACTGAACCATCGGCCAAGATCGCCGCAAATGCGCCGTATTCTGTGGCCTGAATCTGTTGCACATTCCTGAGCTGATCTTGAACTGCGGAGCAGTCACCACCCCAGTCTGGATCACCCCAGGCAACCACCGAGCCATCGGCCAAGATCGCAGCAAATGCCTCATTTGTGGCTTGAATTTGATCCACATTCCTGAGCTGATGTTGAACTGCTGAGCAGTCACCACCCCGGCCTGGATCGCCCCAGGCAACCACTGATCCATCGGCCAAAATCGCGGCAAAAGCTATAGGTGCGGCCTGAATTTGCTGTACATTTCTGAGCTGGTGTTGAACTGCTGAGCAGTCACCACCCCAGCCTGGATCGCCCCAGGCAACCACTGATCCATTGGCCAAGATCGCGGCAAAAGCTTTCGATGTGGCCTGAATTTGCTGTACGTTCCTGAGCTGATCTTGAAGTGCAGAGCAGTCACCACCCTGGCATGGATCACCCCAGGCAACCACTGATCCATTGGCCAAGATCGCGGCAAATGCACGTTCTGTGGCCTGAATCTGTTGCACATTCCTCAGCTGATCTTGAACTGCAGAGCAGTCACCACCCCAGTCTGGATTGCCCCAGGTAACTACCGATCCATCCGCTAAGATCGCGGCAAATGCTTTATATGTGGCCTGAATTTGTTGCACCTTCCTGAGCTGATCTTGAACTGCCGAGCAGTCACCACCGTAGTCTGGATCACCCCAGGCAACCACTGAACCATCGGCCAAGATCGCCGCAAATGCGCCGTATTCTGTGGCCTGAATCTGTTGCACTTTCCTCAGCTGATCTTGAACTGTTGAGCAGTCACCACCGTAGTCTGGATCACCCCAGGCAACCACCGATCCATCGGCCAAGATCGCGGCAAATGCCTCATTTGTGGCTTGAATTTGATCCACATTCCTGAGCTGATGTTGAACTGCTGAGCAGTCACCACCCCGGCCTGGATCGCCCCAGGTAACAACCTCGTTGCCTCCGCAGCACCACAAAGCAAATGCTACCTCAGACGCAGCTACCTTCGCTTGTTGAGCCACTGCAGTTAGGTGCCCTCCTTCCTGAATGCCTGCAGCTTGCAAAGAATCCTCAGGATTTGTCAGGGCATGCCCCTCCGCAGTGATGAGTTTCAGGAAGCCCTTTTGGAAAGTTTTTTGGGCCAGAATTTTCAAGTCCCCCACTTTGGAGTGTTCTGGGAGCAGCAGAGTTTCTCCAGAACCACTCGGGAACGAAACAGATACTTGAAGCATTGCAAGAAACGCGAAACACACAAATCCACTCACTACAAGTGTTACTCCCAGTTATAACTTGGTTTATAACCACAGATACCAACAGGATAGATATATCTACCATCAACCCTCATGATATTGAACTAAACCAGTTTGGCTAACTACAAATCCATATAATTCCTATATAATCGGAAATTAGATCCAATGAAATCCTATGAAATCGCATTAAATCGCATGAAATTACAATTTTGGGAGCCCCAAATATTGTACTCTCCAGTTAATCGCTTCGCGTCCTGCAACACCTTGAGCCGAGCGAGCCAAAGTCTGCATGAGCTCCGTCACCAATTTAGCCAGGGCCACAAAGGACGCTTTACTAACCAAATATGGTTGGTTTAATGGGATTGATACCATCTGGTAAACAAACATAGCTATTCAATTATTCAACATGGACATTTATAGTGAGTTTTCCCATTAAAAATGGTGATTTTCCATATAGTTATGTTAGTTTACCAGAGAGTACTTATATCTACGTTGGTGTACTTCACTACAATAGGCTTTATATATGGTACGTATATCCAACTCGTTAGAATTACTAGCCTCACCTTGTAGACTTGCGCAGGCAGCAGAAAAAACATCAGAATCTTCCTTAATTTATTCGTCTCTGAACCGATATCTACGAAAGATGGGAATGAACCAACAAGCCCTCAACAAATTTAGGAAGGTCCCATCGCTTATCACATGTTTGTACACAGCTTTGGCAATGGCAATTTGAAGGTTTCTTCCTCAAGGGGATGTGCTTACAAAGTGGTGCCCCCAAACGATAACAAAAACTGGGGGCCACATAACTCCAATTTCACTATGGTTTATGGTACTTCTATAACTATAGTTAATGGTGTTTATAAACCAACAAACATAACTGGTAGATATACCTATAGTCAATAACTATAGGACTTATGGTAGATATATATATATATATCTGTAGTATTCATGGGGTGAATCTAAACCAATGTTCACATCACCTTATGGGGGGCCCCACATTGGGCCTGACATCACCTTCAAAGGGTGCATCTAGGGAAGGTCCGGTCCCATCACTTAAGTTGCCGGCCAGGTCCGAAAAAAATCGAAGACCAACTGGTTGGTGGTATACCTACCCCTCCGAAAAATATGAGTTCGTCAGTTGGGATTCTGAAATTCCCAATATGATGGAAAACAAAAACATAATCCAAATGTTCCAAGCCACCAACCAGCTGAAAACCAACCAATGTCCGTCCCATTTTTTGTTTCGTAGAACAAAGGAGTTTTTAAGCGGTGACTCACATTGTGTTTCGTATTTATTGGAGAGATGACGTCACAAATACCTAGATGTTGATTTGGTTTATTTGAATTCAGCAGTTTAGTTCACAAGAAAAGTTTTATTAAACCATAAATAGTTTTATTGACTATAAATAAACATGAATAAACCATAAAACCATAAATAAGTTTATTAATTATAATAGTTAATAAAACAAATTATGGTTTATTGATGTTTATTGGTGTGTGGTACGTATGTCTTCGTTGGATGAGATGGGTCAGGTCAGGATTCTCCCCTGGAATCCACAAGCACCGGAGCCATGTCCAAGAAGACAATATACATAGATCTAGCATCAGTCTAAAATATGGGTGCTGATATTTACTGATGCTAGATCTATGTATATTGTGTGCAAATATATATCTAAAATATGGGTGCTAAATATATCTTTTAAAATATTTCTAGATACTAACCGATAGTTTTTTGTTGATGTATAGTTCATAATTCTGGGTAAATTATCTGGGTAACTTATAATATTTTACTAACCTGAATTAAGGCCCATTTGGGGATGATTTCCCTAACATAAACCATGATTCCCAGTGAGGGAGAACTGTGAGGTCGTTATAATTTACCCAGAATTATAAATTGGAGGTGCCTACCATATATAAGGCCCATTTTTTAGGCCTATGTAAGAGATTGAATATCCCCATTGATAATCCTGAAATTTTAGGATCCTGAAATTCCCATTGATAATAATTCACTAACCTGAAACTTGCGGCTATAGTGATGAAACATGACGAAACTCCCTAAATCCGCCGTGATTTGCCGTGCGCGATGTGGGATCATTATCCAATGTGGGCCCCCGGTGATGTGAAGATCTGAACGTTGGTTTCTAAAGCCCAGTAAGTGTATACAGTTAGAAGTACCATAAACCGCATAGTGAAATTGGAGTTAGGTTCACCAACTTAGCTATTGACCGGGGGCCCCACATTGTAAGTATCTGGTTGAATTGACATGTAGATGCCAATCAAATAGATCAAATAGCCTAAGTATCCGAAGTATATTCTACAAAAACTGGAGCTGATCTTGAACTGCCGCGCAGTCACCACCCTGGCATGGATTGCCCCAGGTAACAACAGATCCATCAACCAAGATCGCGGCAAATGCGCAATCTGTGGCCTGTATTTGCTGCACATTCTTGAGCTGATCTTGAACTGCCGCGCAGTCACCACCATAGTCTGGATTGCCCCAGGCAACAACCGATCCATCGGCCAGGATCGCAGCAAAGGCTTCAGCTGTGGCCTGAATTGCTTGCAGATTCCTGAGCTGCTCTTGCACTGCGGAGCAGTCACCACCACGGTCTGGATCGCCCCAGGTAATTACAGATCCATCGGCCAAGATCGTGGCAAATGCGTGCCAGCTGGATTGAATTTGCCGCACATTGCTGAGTTGATTTTGAACTGAGGAGCAGTCACCACCATTGGGTGGATGGCCCCAGGCAACCACTGACCCATCTACCAAGATCGCAGCAAATGCGTATTGCGTAGCCTGAATTTGTTGCACATTCTTGAGCTGATCTTGAACTGCGGAGCAGTCACCACCCCAGTCTGGATCACCCCAGCTGACTACCGATCCATCAGCCAAGATCGCGGAAAATGCGGTAGCTGTGGCCTGAATTGTCTTCACATCCCTGAGCCGCTCTTGCACTGCTGAATGGTCACCACCCCAGTCTGGATCGCCCCAGGTAACCACGAATCCATTGGCCAAGATTGCAGCAAATGCTTCGTCCGTGGCCTGAATTTGCTTCACATTCCTCAGCTGATCTTGAACTGCCGTGCAGTCACCACCAGTGTCTGGATCGCCCCAGGTAACTACCGATCCATCCGCTAAGATCGCGGCAAATGCTTTATATGTGGCCTGAATTTGTTGCACCTTCCTGAGCTGATCTTGAACTGCGGAGCAGTCACCACCCCACTTTGGATAGCCCCAGGTAACCACCGATTCATCGGCCAAGATCGCAGCAAATGCGGCACTTGCGGCGTGAATTTGCTTCACATTCTTGAGGCGATCTTGAACTGAGGCAGAGTCACCACCCCGGCCTGGATCGCCCCAGGTAACAACCTGGTTGCCTCCGCAGCACCAATGCTACATCAGACGCAGCTACCTTCGCTTGTTGAGCCACTGCAGTTAGGTGCCCTCCTTCCTGAATGCCTGCAGCTTGCAAAGAATCCTCAGGATTTGTCAGGGCATGCCCCTCCGCAGTGATGAGTTTCAGGAAGCCCTTTTGGAAAGTTTTTTGGGCCAGAATTTTCAAGTCCCCCACTTTGGAGTGTTCTGGGAGCAGCAGAGTTTCTCCAGAACCACTCGGGAACGAAACAGATACTTGAAGCATTGCAAGAAACGCGAAACAAACAAATCCACTCACTACAAAGTGGACCCCCCCAGTTACAACTTGGTTTAGAACCCTAGTCTAAGTATCAATCACCTTGACCCCTAAACAAGCAGAAATGAATAGTTGTTTCCATATGAAGAATCCCTACATAACAAATAGTTTCCAGGAGTGGGGAACCTCCACTCCAATTAATTCAAAATTAGACCGTTTGAGTAAACAAGTTTTTTTAGTACATTTTGGGTAATCCGCCATAAGAAACCATCATTAATATCCCCCATAAGCTCTTTTTCGTCATTGATAAACCAACAAATCGCTATCGAGGGGCCAGTCTGAGCAGCTGCCCAAATGTGCCAGTAAGCCTAGCTTGAGCCACGGACGAACTGGCTCAAGCGCAAAGGTCACCACAGTTGTTTGGCCCAACTAACAGTTTTCGAACTGGGTTAGACCTCAATCAAGTGATTTATAACCTTAGTAACAGGAGTTACATAGGCCAGAACTGCAACAATGGGCAACCACCTATAAGTTTGTTTATAACCCTATGTAACTAGTCCGATTTATCCCTCATAAACCCTATAATTAATTATAGTTATTTTTTAATGATAAAGCAACTTAGCTATCTTGGGGGCCCCACTTTGTAGCTTCGCCGAGTACCTATAAGATTGGTAAAAGTACAAAGATCATTGGGTGAAATAGCAATCGTTGGGGGTACTTATGGGGTGAAATTGCCATTTTTAGAGGTACAATCCCCATGGAAATCTGACATAAACCACCATAACCCCTCCATGGAAATTCCAATGGAAATTCTCCACTTACCCTCTGGGTTATTTAACATAGCCATGGAAAATCCCCATTTTTTAATAGGTAAACCATCTATTTCTATGTGTCATCTATACCATGGCTATGTTAGTCATAACCAGATGGTAAACTCCATGGAAATTCCCACTAAAAAGTGGGCAAATCCACGTGACTCTCCGGCTTTTTCGTCCCGGTGCCGCCTCAAAGAGCACCTCATAGAGATCGCCCCCGGTGACGCGCAGACGCCCCGCCAGGGTGGCGGAACGCACCTGGTACCAGACCGGCTCCCCGGCCTTGGCAATGGTGTAGTCACCTGGCAGCATCTAACCATAGTCAAAAGATGGGCCATGGAGTTAGGGATATCTAGTTAGTACAAGGTGGTGCCCCCCCAGTTATAAGTTGGTTTATAAACCCCATGAAAACTATAGTTCTAAGTACCAAAAACCATAGTTATTGGAGTTATAAACCAACTTAGCTATCTTGGGGGCACCACATTGTAGTCAAAGATGGGCCATGGAGTTAGGGAAAACTAGTTATAGTAAAGATTATTTCATTGGTTTTTTTTGGGGTAACAAAATCCAGTTACTAACCAGGAATCGTGAATCCCATGGCCCATCTAAGTAGTCAAAGTGGGGCCCTCCGTTGTCGAGCGATAGCGTTCAGAAACGCCACGCCTTATTTCAGTGGCAGAATTCCATGGTTTATGGATGTTCATGCTAAATATAACGCACTAGTATTCATATGTATTCATGGAGTTTTTGTTAACCAACGTTCACATCACGTTTGGGAGCAGCAATTTGTAGAAAGGAGAAATGGTGATTTTGATGGACATTTCATGGAATTGACATAGATGGGCCATGGGATTAACGATTCCTGGTTAGTAACTGTTTTTTCCCAAAATAATCCCAATGAAATAATCCATTTAATAACCAGTTTTCACTAACTCCATGGCCCATCTAAGTATTCAGTTGGGATGAATGGTGTAGTCGCCTGGAGTTCGGTGATCCACATGGAATTTGACCAACGATGGTGATTGTCAACCATATTTCACTGCCAGTTGGGATAAATGGACAAGACTGGCTGGTTTACCCTCTGGTGAACTAACAGCTATTGAACTAACTGCCCAGTCGAAATAGTTGATTTCCCCATTCATAGCATGCTGAATGTCCATCGTTTTTTTGTATGTTTACCAGAGGCAAACACCTGCAAACTCACTGATTTCATGAGATTTCATCATCCATGTGGTCTATAACTGGTGTAGTCGCCTGGCGACCAGGAAATGGTGAATGAATTGATGGGACTGAAAAAAAGTGATATAATATGATTTAATCAGATGAAATTCGATTTGGTGAAATTTAACCGAACCAAAATGGTGATTTAAGAATGATTTGATGGGATTGAATTAGTTAAATGGAAATATCATGGACATGCAATCGGATAACCACAAGGTGATGCCCTTTTTTTCTTGACCAAGTTGCTTGAAATAAGTACGTTTTCTGCGTTGGATGCACGGTAGATACATCAAACATCATCAAACTAGTCAAGGGATGCCAAGGGGTGAACCAACGTTCACATCACTGGAGGGCACCACATTGTACAAATGACCTACGGCTAAAATGGGTACCCTCTGGTGAACTAACATAGCAATTGAAAATGGCCATTTATAGTGGATTTTCCCATTAAAAATGGTGATTTTCCATTGCTATGTTAGTTCACCAGAGGGTACATGAAGTGGGAATAGTTTACCAGCGAAGATTTGAAAAGGCTGTGTAAGCCATAAAACATTTAAAATGACCCGAATTTGGTTGAAACAAAAAACACCCATGGTGAATTTGGAACGGTTTCTCCCCAGCTGACTTCATGTTTTTGAAACCAAGCTTCCACATGATTTTACCATCATGAATCCAGCACTGCTATTTGACTGTATGTATAATTACATGATATTGATGCACATCGCTTCAAATTTCCACAGGGTGGCGCCCAAGTTTTGTTTGTTTGCTTTTAGTTAACCTGTTCAAGCAATTTAGTCAAGAAACAGTGGCACCATCTTGCATTATATACCACAAAACTATCATCATTAACAATTGACATGCAATGCACTGGTTTGTTTCATACACGATCGCTGTTGTTTCAATCCCGTTAGAGCGCATGTTTGTTGTTTGATGGCTGGAAGACACTAAAGTAGCCATACCCATGTACTTGGTTTCCATATTATATACCAATTACAAGCAATTATTCTCTATTCTATCATAATCATAATGTTGCTTCTTGATGCCTATTGCTGGTTGTTTGTGGTTGTGTCCCCACTATATATAAGTGTTGCTTACACATTCCCCATGAAATTCCACTGTCTGGCTAATTGCCAACGTGTGTTGTTAAATCTTCATTAAACCCAATGTATTGTTGGTTCCAAAACCATATCTGATGGCTAAAAAACATGTTGCATGGCGAAAAAACATGTTTAATGGCTATCTGACCCTTACAAAACTAGTTTGCTTATGTTCACCAAATTAGCTACGTTTTGTGAGGCTCCCCAGTGATGTTTGTTGGTTTATAAACACCATGAACTATAATTGCGTACCATAAACCATATTGAAATTGGAGTCATGTTCACCAACTTAGCGATTTCGTCAACGGGGCCCCACTTTGTACCTGGTTTGTATCCATCATTGAATCCCTAATTTTCAAACGTCCCCCATGTTCGTTGGGTTTCTTCAGTGAAATCCCACAAAAGTTCTGGCCCGATTTTTACCAATTAAAAGTCAGTGAAATCAGGTTATTTATGGAATGATCACCCTATTTATAAAGCCACTTATAACCATGTACATATATATATATAACCATTTACAATTTACAACTATGTTTAACCATGTTTAACCATTTTTAACCATAACTATGTTTAACCAGTTTTAACCAGTTATAACTGGTTTTTCGGACCTGAATTCTGCAGGGTCCTTGGGTCCTTTCACGACTTCGCGGCCTGCCATGACGAAGGATTGGGTCGGGTCCGAGATGGCCAACAGGATCGTCACCTGAGCGAAGCAAGGTCGAAGTTTTTGGGACTTCTGGGTACCTCCGGGGATTCTATGCCATGTATAATATATATATATATAGTTTAGTATGGTTTTCAGCCTCTATAGCTGTGGATATTATCACATCATGATCTTTTGGTGTATATATAAATATATATATATATATAAATAGTTAGTTAAGTTGATGATAGACAACTTATTTAGTTAAGTTGGCCAATATATATATACATATGTATACATGCATATAATATCTATGGTTTATAATTGATACAACGAACTAGTTAATAGGGTTTATAAACCAATTTATAACTGGGGGACACCACTTTGTAATGATATATCCATGTACATTGGGGGTTCCATCAATGGAGGTACCCTAATAGCTGGATGGTTTATAAAGGAAAATCCTAATCTAAAATGAATGATTTGGGGTACCCCTATTTTAGAAAACCTCCGTATATATATATATACATATAATATCTAAAATGTATATATTTATATATAGTATGTATGTGTGTTAATCTGTTTTTGAGTGGTTTGATTGAATTCAGTTGGATTATGTGTCATTTTATTGCTGGTTTTCATTTTGATGAAATACAACTAGATCGCTAAGAATCAGTATGTCACTAAGTTAAACAGCCTTTGTTTTAGTTGGTATCGACTGAAGTCATTGAGGTGCAATATTTCACCATAAACATTAATTACATGCAATAGACATATATTAAAAATACATGAGATGGGCGCCCCAACAAAGATAATTGATTAAATTTAATTGGATGCAATGTTGATTTATGTTGATGTTTAGAACAACTCATAAAATCCGTCCAGGGATTTCAATCCCATCTCCCAAACCTAGTTACAAGAATCCATCATGCGACTTGTTTAATCAATAAAACCCAAAATAATCAATCATTAAAACAACATAAAACACAATGAATGCCTCATCGTTGTTGGTTTCATCATGTTTACCCCGGTTTGAATATATAAAATCACCAGAAAATCATATGAACTGGTTAACTTTGTTGTTCAAATATTGAAATACAATTATATAAATAAGTCCATCTATATCGCCAATAATGAGATCCCATAAAATCACCGGTTTCACTAAACTCCCATGGTGAGTTCCTATAGTGTACCATGAAAAAATCACCGTGTTTATGGACACATCCATATATCATACTGTTGGTTGCATCGCCTATTGAATCAAAATTTGCATCTCCAAAACATTGACTAACTTTGATAAACATGGTTGTTTGTTTACTCCCACGCTAAGGACCTTCTCATCACCATGAAATCAGCAATGTTATCAGCATTAATATCTCGGTATGATCCCATGAAATCTGGTGAAACGTCGCCATGTCTGCTTCAAATTGCCGAAATCACCACACAAAATCACCACACAAAATCACCATATAATTACCATATGATTGTTCCTTAAATCACAATTTCTCTTGGTGAATTCCACACCCATCTCGGCTTCCTGACCGGCATGGGCGAGTTCAGCACTTGGTTTCCGTCCAAGCGCACCACTAAGCGCCTGGCGTGATGAATGGGATATAAGAAGATTTATATACTGATTAGACACCTGACTGATGCAGATGCCCCCATGTTTTTGTTGATGTGTTTTAAATTTTCTTACTGGGCTTTCTTACCTTTGCTATAGTCTTGGTGAGCTCTTATTCATATTTTGGGTTTTGGTTAAATGCCATTATATATTAGATCTCTTAAAAAAAAAAACATATACGTATAGATATAAAACCATGTATTTTACCTCAACATGTGTGTACTTAGTGTACTTGTAGCTATTGTTGAAGACATCGAAAAGTATATAGCTGAAAAGATAGACTACAAATAATATAAATTTAACATTATCTATAGTGCCTTTGAATAGGTATCAAGTATATATAGATATCAATATTGAATATAGAAATCAATAATTATTTCAGCCAATGGTGTTTATATTATAATGTTAAATATAACAACTACATTATATACATATTATATATATATATAATATAATATATATATATTATATATTATATTATATATATTATATATATTATATATATTATATATATAATATATATATATATATATAACTTGGTTCCCGCGCCATAAAGATCCTCACCGTTTCCATTCTCAAACGCTCCGAATTTTGAGTGGTACGCTCTGGATCCCTATGGTTCCCTGGTGCCCCCCAAGTTATGTTTGTTGGTTTATAATCCCATGGCAACTAGTTCGATATATCTACCATAAGTCCAAACGTGAAATTAGAGTTATGTGGCCCCGCAACTGAGCTATCATAAATCAGCTATAAATCCCATGGAAATCACAATTTTCCTATGGTTTTCCTAGTGTTTTCCTATGCTTTTCCTATAGTTCCCCCCACCGAACGTATGGTTCCCTGGTGTGAAATGACATGGTCCTCCGACGGTTTCCGCAACGTGGTCCTCAGTGGCGCCTGTAGTAGCGTCCACCCGTGGTGTCATCTTCGTAGATGGGGTCCGGTGGCAATGGCGTCCAAGACGCCGAATAGAAGCCCCTGGCGTCCATGGGTCCGGTGAAGAAACATGGCAGTTAAAATGCGCATTTCATGGTGATTTCATGGGGTAAAATTGTGATTTGATGGGGTAAAATGGTGATTTAATGGGGTAAAATGGTGATTTAATGGGGTAAAATTGTGATTTAATGGGGTAAAATGGTGATTTGATGGGGTAAAATTGTGATTTGATAGGGTAAAATTGTGATTTAATGGGGTAAAATTGTGATTTGATGGTGTAAAATTGTGATTTCATGGGGTAAAATTGTGATTTAATGGGGTAAAATGGTGATTTGATGGGGTAAAATTGTGATTTGACGGGGTAAAATTGTGATTTAATGGGGTAAAATTGTGATTTAATGGGGTAAAATTGTGATTTGATGGTGTAAAATGGTGATTTCATGGGGTAAAATTGTGATTTAATGGGGTAAAATTGTGATTTGATGGGGTAAAATGGTGATTTGACGGGGTAAAATGGTGATTTAATGGGGTAAAATGGTGATTTAATGGGGTAAAATTGTGATTTGATGGGGTAAAATGGTGATTTGATGGGGTAAAATTGTGATTTGATGGGGTAAAATTGTGATTTGATGGGGTAAAATTGTGATTTGATGGTGTAAAATGGTGATTTAATGAAATTTCATTGTGTTGAATGGTATTTAATGGTGATTTAATGGGATTTCATCGTGATTTAATGGTGTAAAATGGTGATTTAATGGGAGCCAATGGGAATTAAATGGGATTTATGTGGATGTACCCTTAGGTAATTTGTTACGTAGCTATTGGCAATGGCCATTTATAGTTGATTTACCAAACTTAAAAATTGTGATTTAGTGGGATTTAGTTGAAGATGGCTGGTTTAGTTCACTATAATCACTATAAGTTGATGATACCCCTGTCCGGGAGCAAACCATGCAGGCCTTTACACCAAATCCAAAAACTCGAGTGATTCTTGAGATAGTTGTCCCCAGCGAAAAGGAACTCACTCCGGAGTAATGGAGGAAGGATGCAACCATATGTCCGCCAAATTGGTCTACGGACTACAGCTTGCTACGGGCATGGTATCACCGCACTGGCCTATGGGATTACGTGAAGCAGGCTAGGACTGCAGAAATTGGACGAGGAACACGTGGCAAGGTCAAATTCAAAGGAGTCTCGGCAGCTCTGGAAAGCAAAGGCATTCGACTAGGTACAATGTGGGGCCCCCTAATTATAAATTGGTTTATAAACCCCATTAACTATAGTTATAAGTATCATAAGTATCATAAGTATCATAAGTATCATGAGTATCATAAGTATCATAAGTACCATAACTATCATAAGTATCATAAACCATAGTGAACTTGGAGTTATGTTTACCAACTTAGCTATCGTAAACGCGGCCCCACGACTTGTAGAGAGTGTTTGCAACGACGCTGTAAACAGGATGGGTATAGTTCCTGCTTGCAGGACGGGTGGGATAGGCCAGCTTCAATGCAAAAGTTACTTGAAACAAAATGAACATGTTCCAACAAGTACAAGGTGGTGCCCCCAAGATAGCTAAGTTGCCTGATAAGTCCAAAAACTAGGGTTTATATGGGTTTATGGGGGTTATATCTATAGTTACGATGCTTTATAAACCAACAAACATCACTGGAGGGGCACCACCTTCATTTTTTTCGGATTCGGGATGAGTCAAAACCAGTCAACATTTGAAATAAATACGTTTTGTGGTGCCCCCCAGTGATGTGAACGTTGGTTTAGATTCACCCCATGAAAACTATAGTTATTTGCGTATCATAAGCCCTAGTGAACTTGGATGTTATTATGTTATTGGAATCATCAACCAACTTAGTTATCGTTTGGGGGCCCCACATTGTACCATATTCTGGTGGGTGAATATCCCAATATCCCAGCTATGACTTGGTGTGACTTGGTGGCTGCTTTCGACCAACGGCTTTGTGTCCAAAAAAAGATACCTTCTGGTAATTTAACATAGCTATTGAAAATGACCATTTATAGTGGATTTACCCATTGAAAATTGTGAGTTTCCATAGTTATGTAAACGTTTACCAGAGGGTATCCCAAGTTCCGATGGTTTTGCTACTGACATTCCTGGCTGTTGATGGCATGAAAGAAGGGTCATCTTTTTTTGAGCCCGGTGTATGCAGGGGATCATCCACGTTTGATCTGGTTGGTGGTTGAGCCCTACCCCTCTGAAAAAAAAGAGTGAATTCGTCACTTGGGATTATCCCAACTGAATGGAAAAATCATCTCTGGCTGGTGGTATACCTATCCCTCTGAAAAATGATGGAGTTCGTCAGTTGGAATGATTATCCCATATATAAAATGGAAAATAAAAAAGTGTTTGAAACCACCAACCAATGATTATTAACCATGATTAACCATTATTAATATATTGTGGAAAAAAAATGTTCCAAACCACCAACCAGATCTGTTCCAAAGCAGATTCTTGTCGAATTTTGGGGATCATCAAATCGCCGGAAAGGAAAAGAAATGGCCCAGGTTCGGCGCTTCGGTCCACCTTGCCACTTGCCACCCTGATTTCTATTGAAAAATCACCTGAATTCAGCTGATTTATAGCCCAAATCCTGATGTTCGTGGGATTTGACCTGCCCTTTGATAGAAATGCCGTGGAATTTCCATGAAATCATCATGAGATCATTATATATAATATACAATATATAAAACTATAGTTATTTGCGTACCATAATTCATAGTGAAATTGGAGTTATTTGCACCAACTTAGCTATCGACCGTTTTCCCCACATTGTAATATATGGGATGTCATCCTTCCCATTGACTATAGATGATTAATCGTTATTAACCATTATTAACCATTATTAATAACCATTATCAATCATTATTAACCATTAATAACCATTAATCACCAATCCTTATTAACCATTATTAACCATTATTAGGATCCATTATTAACCGTTATCAACTTTTTCGGATCCTGAAGATCCAGTTTTTCCCCATGGGCTACGCCTCGCAGGATCCCATCGAACTGGGAGGTCCTCGGACAGACAAAGGGTGCCCGTGTGGGGTTCCAGGACGTCGTAAAAGAAAGTTGCTGAACGTTGAACTCGGTGAATTCTATGGTTTATGATGGGTATATCTATAGATATATAGAATTTTATGGTTTATCATGGGAATTCTATAGATATCTATGGTGATTGTTGTGAATCTAAACAAACAAACATCACTGAGAAAAGGTCGCACCTTACGCTATATGAATTGGTTTCTGAAGTCATGGTGGCTCCCCAGTCGGGCATCGGCATCGCTAAGTTGGTGAACAGATAATATAGATTATCATGGTTATTTAACATAGCCATGGAAAATCACCGTTTTTGATAGGTAAACCATCTATAAATGGGTCATTTTCCATGGCTATGTTAAATAACCAGAGGGTAACCTTTGGGTTTATTGGGAATATCACGAACTAGGGTTTACATGGGTTTATTAAGTTGCTTGATAAGTCCAATAACTAGGGTTTATATGGGTTATTAAGTTGCTTGTTAAGTCCAAGAACTAGGGTCAAAAAATGGGTTTATGGGGGTTATATCATTATATCTATAGTTACGATGCTTTATAAACCAATAAACACAACTGGGGCATAAAAACCCGGTATAAATCCCATGACAAAAACATACAAAAACCATGGGAACCTGTGGAGTTTCTCATCGCTCTGGGCATGAAAACCAACATGAGGATAGAAAGCAGCAATCCTGGGGATGTCATGGGATTTATAACCAAACAATATTTGCAAGGGGTAAATTGCTACATAGCTACAGGATGGGGCCCCCGTGGCCACGAAAACGCGTTCAGGTGGTGAACATAATTCCAGTTTCACTATGGCTTATAATACTTGTGACTATAGTTAGTGGGGTTTATAAACCAACGTTCACATCACTGGGGCACCATCCTGTAAGGTATAAGTAGTTCAACTGGTGGTGGTTTCCATAGCTATGTTCATCAGTTCTAGATCCCAATCCATGCTTGGTGCAAAACAAAACATGCAATCCATTCACATCCCTATAAAATGATATAGTGGCGGTTGATATACTGTTGATATCATGGTGTTTCTTAAGTATATTAACACATCCATATCCCTTAGGGATATCAAATCATAATCACCATCAACCCACGCCAAGACGAACATGGTCAATCTTGGGTAGCCCACAAAAAAAACATGGTGGTTATGGTTATTTTCCATTTATATATAGCAAAAACAACTATCCAGGATCAGTTTCTACCTATCCAGTCGCTTGGGGATGTTTATTAATCACTATGGACTATCACGATCAACCACTAAAAATAACCATCTATCACTGTCAATCTCTGTTTATCAGTGATTAATAGTCAATAGTGATTGATCACCACTATGAATCACTATCAATTTCCGAACAAATCACCGAATGCTTTCTTCGCTCCGTCCACACCAAGGAATCCAAGCGTCCATCTCTTTAACGCCTTTCAAGGTGAAGAGACGCGCGGTGATACTTCCAATCATGGTACCTGACAGGTCGGCCAGCACCCATCATCATCACAAAAAATACCTGTCATGGGGATGTACCCTCTGGTTATGTCAAAATAGCTATTGAAAATGGCCATTTATAGTGAGTTTTTCCATTAAACAAATTGTGATTTTCCATAGTTATGTTAGTTTACCAGAGGGTAACATACCAGGTATTTTTTTTATGGGATTTAAATGGTGATTTTCCATGGGATTTGACCCCCAAAAAAACATGATAAGAATGGGATCATATGGTTGAGAGGCGGTGTTTTGGGATATCGTTCAGGGGAAATTGGACGATGTTGTTTTGATATTCAGCTGAGTTGCTGTTGATGTAACCACCATGAACTCACCAGTACACCTATTTTTGAGTCAACCAACTTGACTGACAGAATAATGGTACCCTCTGGTAATTTAACATAGCTATTGAAAATGGCCCAGTCGAAAATTTACCCATAAATAGCATGGTGATTTTCCATAGTTTGTTGTAAACGTTTACCAGGCCGGGTAATGGAAAAACAAGTTTGACATCAGACAGTTGGAACTGGTGAAGGTCACGGGGATTATCACCCATTTACAACCCATGTATAGTGAGTTGTATGGGATATAAGATTGAACAAAAGACACAGCATTCTTGCAAGTGGTTTCACAACTGGTTTCACAACCCGATGTGTCCTGAAAATTGATCATCCCAAAGCATGATCTATCGCTGATTTTTTCAAGTCATTAAACCATGAATTCGTATTGAAACCTATGGCGACTTGAAGATTCCCCATTGTAAGGAACCATGCAAATATCTGGATAAATTATAATAGTTCACTCACCTGAATAGTTCGGCCCTTTCGGGATGATTAACATGATGATTTACCGAACTTAAAAATGGTGATTTCCCAGTTCGCTACGTTAAATATCCACAGGTTTGTTTCATAATTACAGCACTGCTTGGTGGTATACCTACCCCTCTGAAAAATATATGAAAGTCAGTTGGGATTACTATTCCCATATATTATGGAAAAATACCCTCTGGTAAACTAACATAGCTATTGAAAATGGCCATTTATAGTTGATATTCCCATTAAAAATGGTGATGTTCCATAGTTATGTTAGTTTACCAGAGGGTAAGCCAAATGTTCCAAACCACCAACCTGAGAATATCCGCACCAATAGCTTGCTGAACCTCCGACCACAGGCTGGCCCAGGATATCGCGCAAATCGATGCGGACCTGGACAGGATGGTGCCCCCAGTGCCGTGAAGTGAACGGTTGCTGAAGAAAAAACCCATGAAAACTATAGATATATCACCTGTATAGACATCTATAACCATAGTATCCATAGTTATATCCATAGTTATTGAAGTTATAAACCAAACTTAGCCAAAGTTGGCGTAGTTTTCTCAGTGCACTTCCAATTGTTCAGTCCCCTCATGAAATAAACCATAAAATTCCCATCCGTTTTTCCCCGTAAAACATGTAAAACTGTCCATCTCTATTCATCACCACTTCCAGCAGTTGATCAACCACTAGTCCACTAGGCCTAAAAATTCCCCAACTTTTGGGGGGTTCGAAAAACCATGGTTTTTATATCCATGGCCAATCAGCCAGATAGCCTGCAAAAAATGAACCCAATTCTGCACGCTGGTGAGCGTAGTAGATAATCCCAGCCACATATCAAGTCAGACTAGTTAGGATTAGTTTCTAGCCTTTCTACCCATCCAGTTAAGGTGAACCTAGTGGTCCATTAATAACCCCAAACTGCACACCCAAGTAAGGTGACCATATACCAAAAAATGTAAAATACTCATACAAGATTCAACAGTCATGGTGGATTTACTCATGGGGTAAAAAATGAAAATCATGGACTATTATAATATATTATAATCTGGTTGGTGGTATACCATGGTATACCTACCCCTCTGAAAAATGATGGACTTCGTCAGCTGGGATGATGACATTTTCCCAATATGATGGGAAAAATAACAAAAATGTTCCAAACATCAAGCAGTAATGGTAGGACTATTAAAACTATTACTTACTGAAGCTTGTAAATCCAAGATGTGTAAATCCAAGAACATGAAACAGTAGATTAGTAAACCCAAAAACATGAAACAACAACAATAGAATGAAGCGGAACTTCTACAGGACTGGATGGTTTGCACCATCAAACAGCAACAGTTTTCTTACGTAGATTTCCCAATTTTAAACCAACGGGATATGTGCAATCTCCAGTATCGTCTCAAATATTTGGAAGACCAAACCCACCCATACATATCACATTGACATGATTGCGTTCTCCGTTGTGGAGTGACCCACATTGTTAGCATTTTCCCATTGTGGTGCACATATTTTGGTTCTGAAATAAACTACCCAGACGGTTCAGACTTCACCCAAGGTTACCCCCTTAGCCACCACTACTCATTGGGACAGTCCATTAAGTTAGATAGATCGATGGGTTTTGTGATTTCTCCACATTTTCGTGGTCAGAGCGCCATTTTGGATGCTTCGATTACAACCCAGCCAGCTGGTTTCCTAGCCAAAGGCCCATAACATTGCCCAAACATGTCCAATAATCCTTGGCTATCCTTGGCTATAGCTAGTTCGCCAGTAAACCATGTTTATTCCATGTTTAATAGATGGTGAAAATTCACCTTTTCCCAAATTGTTATTCGTACTTGGTGGCTGATAGACCCTTCGGAAAGCCAAACACAAGTAAAACGGTCGACCTGGGGCGGTTGCTTGAATCCCCATTTAAAAAAACATAAATGTTATTTCATTAATCCCATGAAACCAACTTAGCAAACTAACTCCCATTAAATGACTATTTTCCCCGCTGACATACCTAATTTTGATACAATACTTTTATTAAAAAAATACGATCAACTACATCATCCCCATGTTTGTTGCTGAAATTACCAAATTTATTTCTTGGTTTCCACGGAACTGCGGCACCACCGAACGCGTGGAGCTAACAACATCCTATTAAACACCATTAAACAGCATTAAACACCATTAAACACCTTATATCCCACCACATATCCCATCAAAATCCCATGAAATCTCATTAAATCACCATCAAACCTCCATTTATAGATGATTTTCCCAGATGTTCCTATGTTTTTCATGAAAAAATCATGAGAACTCACCATTTCTCTTGCTGGATCCCCGCCTCCCCGAGGGTATCCACGATAACAGTCATCTCCGTGGTGCTGTCGGGCATGGCCAACACCGTGGAGTACTCCGCCCGCGCCGAACCGCTGATGGCCTGGATATTTTTTTTGGGGGGCATGGGGAGATGGCGATAGGCGAGATCTATGGAGGTTTCCATAGTCATGTTTTCCATAGTCATGGGTGCTTAGATATGATTATATCGTTATTCATACGTTGCTCATCTGATCCACAACATCGCCCTCATGTTGAACAACGTCGCTTTCTGTTGGAGGTCTGCCACCGTCACTAACCTTGCGTCGACGACTCTGGAGAACGTGGTCTGCTGAGCCTGCTGCTTAAATGACAATCATAAAGCGCCATTATTCTCGTGGACCTGCTCCACGCAAGAGTTGTCCAATCTTTCAGGTGGTCTGTAGCAAGACTCCCAAGCTTCTCGCTTTCGAAGTCGGAGCCCCGTGGCCACGAAAACGCGAAGTTGAGGGCCACATAACTAGGTGAATTCCATGGTTTATGGTACGCAAAAAACCATAGTTAGTTGGTTTATAACTAGCTTAACCATGGTTTATGACTTATAACCATACTTCATAGGGTTTATAAACTAATTTTTAACTGGGGGGCCCACATTGCAAGGGATCTACCGTTTTTTTCGGGCAAACCTTTGCCCGTTTTTTCAACTCTTGGGGAGTTCACCGAGATGGGAATGGATTCCACCCGTCGCTCTTAGCATAGCCAAGTTCTCATTTCCAGGGAAATATATAATCAATATGCTATTAAACTATCCTAAATGGCCCTGGAAATAGTTATCTATATATCAGATTTACTATTTGATCTATTAATGATTAATTTGTCAATATGCTACAAGGTGGTGCCCCCCAAGCTATAAGTTGATTTATAATCCCATTAACTGTAGATATATCATGATATATCTACCATAAGTCCTACTTATTAGAGTTATAAACCAACTTAGCTATCTTGGGGGCACCACATTGTATTAAACTATCATTAACCATTGGACATTATCAGGTATTCTGATCTATTAATCTTATTACTAATAAATTATATAACTAATATTTAAATATATTATACTGCACGGATTTTATTCCGGCTATTACGTAATCGTATAAGCAACTTGTAACTCTGGGGGTCCTGTTTGCATGGGTATTGCTGATGACTATAGTTGACCAACAAACATAATTACGGATAAAATAATGAGGTTGTCATGGTATGGAGCAAAACCAGACATGAGAGCGGCTCAAACTGCTATTAATTGATATATGACATATGAATACATATGACATATATCAAAAAAACATTTTTATGGGGGCTGGCAACAGGTCGAAATCTAAAAAGAATCTAAATTAATACGGATCGAAATATATCAAAATCCCATATACCCAGCAAACACTATACCAAAATACCATGGCCTTTCTGTAGATCAATGGCCATTTCAGGAACCTAAATTTGAGGTACCTACCATATATTCTTGGCCTATGTTTTAGGCCTATGTAAGGGAATATCCCCAGAAAATATGGCCAAACATATGGTACGTTTACGTACCTCCATCAATTGGATCCTGGAGATCTCCCATTGACACAATCATAAATCACAATTGGACTTACCCTCTGGTAAACAAACATAGCTATTGAAAATGGCCATAGAAAGATTGGATTTTCCCATTAAAAATGGTGATTTTCCATAGTTATGTAGATTTTAAAATCTGGAGTTATGATGGGACCATGGGTATCTGCAGTATCTTCCGCGTTGGGCATATCGATCAAAATGCCGAGCGCTCGCACAAGCCTTGGAGACATACAGAGGCCCCCCACTTTTGAGTTGGCTTATAAAACCATTAGCTATAGTAGAAATACTGTTTATACCGCCCAAAAAAACAACAATCAACCAATGTTTAAATGTCAGCTTAGCTATCGACCGGGGCCTCAAATTTACAAAAAGTCGGTTTGCCCAAACTCTCTGGAAGACCTGCTTGCAACCAACACTTGCCCCGCACCCCACCTGAAAGTCTTCGAAAGGACTGCCTGCGGCACATGTATCATGAGCATCTGTGGTGGGTCCTATCCGCCAAAAATGGGATCTGATATCTGGATCATGATCATCAATTCCAAACCTAATTTGAAGCTAGCAAATTCATAGTTTCCTCAAGATAGAAAAAATCATTCATTCATCCTGTAGTCGTTTGCAGTTGCCTGGAATGTGCCTTGTATACTGGGAAAAACAGGGAAACGATGGGAAACGGTATGATGGAAAAAAATACTGTACTGAGAAATGCTATGTGGGGAGAAAAAATAGAGGCCGATCTTAAGAAAATGATGATCTAAGGTGGTGCCTCCCGGCTATAAGTTGGTTAATAAACCCCATGAAAACTATAGATATATACATGGCCAATCTTAGATACCCTGGAAAAAAATGCATTCTTAGCTGGTTAGTAGATAATCCCATTGAAATTGATACCAAAAGACTAAAGGATTAAAGTACCCATCCAAGGTTAACCTAGTATCCCTGATAAACCATAGTTAGCTTACTATGCAAACCACCTTGTTGGATCATGTTCACCCAACACCCGGCTGGAAATCGACCGGTTTCGATGACTCATGGGTATGTCTAAAACTCGCCACCTTCCCAAATAAAAAGGCCAATGAATTATCGCTAATATGGAATAATGATCTAATCCCTACAGCTCCAAACACCTTCTGAGACTGTATTTGGAGCATTTTGGAGTTGTTTAACTTGGGGTCTTTACACCTTCTCAGAGGCTATAACTCGAGCACATTTGGAAATACAAGGTGGTGCCCCCAAGATAGCTAAGTTGGTTTATAACTCTAATAACTAGGACTTCTGGTAGATAATAGTAGATATATATGTAGTTAATGGGATTATAAACCAACTTATAACTTGGGGGGCACCACCTTGTATGATCTAATCATAAACATTTGCCAGTGGCTTAATGATATTTTTGGGATACGTTGATCTCCATGTGCCCGGTCAAAAATCCAGTCTGTAGGGATCACGACTTTTCGTATGAAAAAACCATTGGATTTATCCCTACAGTACCTTAGTTTAGTTGCTTTATAAGCTCAGTAACTAGCAACCGATAGATCTACCATAAAGCCCAGCGAAATCGGAGATATAAACTTCCCAACTTCGCTAACTATTATGGAAAACCAAATAAAACAATTGCTTTTCACAAAACATGGAAAACACTAAGGATAACTCATGGAAAATAATGAGGATAACTAGACAAACAAATAATCCAGTTTGTTGGAAACTGATCTTTGCTATCGTTTGATGTTCAATAACTTTCACATCTTCCAGAACTTCGAACGATGATACAACACGGGTAACCCAACCAGCTGCTTTTCCAGGCCAAATCTTTGGGGGATCCTGATTCTCCCGCAACGCAACTTAGCACCATGGTGGCCAAATGTATCTGTGAATACCCTCTGGTAAACATACAAAAAACTATTGAAAATGGTGATTTATATTGGGTTTACCCATTAATAGCATGGTGATTTTCAATAGCGAACTGCTAGTTTACCGGAGGGTAATATCCTTTTGGTAAAAATAGGTTGGGGCCGGGAGCTGGTTAATCCCATCTATCATCAAACATTTACCTGTTGTTCAAGGGGTAAACCTTCAACCCCTCCTTTTTCATCAACCAACCAATGGGAATTTGGGACATCTATGGTATCTGTGATGCGGGGCCAGAGAGTTCAACCTGGCACGTCCCTCGAGGTGCCAGACTTCACTGGACCCACACCTCCGGTCGCTCAAACTGTTGCACTGGGTCACTGCGAATCCTTTCCTCCAAATGGAGAACGTAGTTGAGAATGGATGCCACGAGGAAAAACTAGCATGTTCAGAACCTGCTGTTCCGGTTGGGAAAAGGCGAGGCGCAGATCGATGTGCTTCATGCTCTCGCAGTCCGACGGGGGCAAATCTGAACCCCCAAGAACTACAAATCAGTGCTTACTTTTTTGGGACTTTTTAAAAGTTGAATCTCCAGGTGAAGAAGCTCTGGTGCTTCTGAAAATCCAAATTGCTGGCAACTGGGATGTTAATCACATGGAAGAGTGGAATATGTCCAGATTTGCATGGTTCTATTCCCGCATTGGTTCATAAAATAGTCATAAGGAGGTTTCATAAAATGGGTTATCATCCATTAAAATAGGATTTTCCCTTATAAACCATCCAGCGATTAGGGATCCCTCATTTATGGAACCTCCAATAGTCTACCGGACTGCTGGTTGAACTCCCATGCTTCCACTGGCGCCCCAGTGAGCTAAATCGCGACAAGTCTGTTGAAATATGTAGGTTCAGATTTGTTTCCTGGTAGGTAATGGTAGAAACTATGTGAACATTTATCTATATACATATATATATATAATATATATATATATATAAATATATAAATATGATTATATGTACTTAATGGGCTTGATAAAGCAATGAATGGGCTGATATCTGGTGAACATAAAGCAACATTTCATTGGGAGGCACCACCTTAGCAAACTAAATCCCATTAAATCATATACCCTTTTGTAATTTAACATAGCTATTGAAAATACACCATTTATAGTTGATTTACCCATTAAACATGGTGATT